TAGTGCAGTCACCAAATAAGCATCAATAGAAACTGATCCATCAGACGCAGTTATCCTTCATTGAACAGTGTTCTGTATAAAAAACAATTTAGTACATAGCTTAAGACATTTAGCACTCGAACAAACAGAAACATATTGACCTGAAATTGTCATCATTGTACTGCAAGTAGACACACAAGCAGATACTTTGATTAATTTAAATGATCTAAATTAAAAGTCGAAACTGACAGGCACAGAAGACACAACTAAAAACACAGGAAATGCGTTTCATTGGTTAAGGCACCACAGACACACAAGCCTAGCCACTTTAATCTAACTTTGGATCAAGACCCAGAGCAAGACACTTGCTGGCTTTAAAAAGGTGGAGTCAGCAATTCTAATGAAATAGACTTTTTGATCAAAATCAGCAAATATCTCCTCACTGTCTGCAGGCTGTCTGTGTGCTGGTGTCCATAAACAGCCCTGGCTCTGTACATGAGAAACAAACAAAATGGCTAGGCCCACTGCCACACAAAACTATTCCAGCCAATCAGCAACAGGGGGCGTTCGTGCACGTGCACAGGACAGAGAAAAGGCCATGGATGGATAACAATGACTGTGGGAGTGAGATGGACGGTAAATCTGGAGATGGGTATTTGTTTTTGGTGTCGAGTTTAAATATCAGCAATCTTCCTCCAGGATCGCTGACTTCCTCTTTAAAAGGTAGGAGTCCATATGAAGAATTCTTATAAATAACAACACACTGAAATTATGAAATTCACGAGTGAATGTTCCCCGACCACTTTTAAAGAACAAGTCAATAATGAGAAGATTCACTTAAGATTGTCTTTGGTTCACAAGTAATCACCAATGCATCTCAACTGTCAGCAACCCCCACCTGATTTTATCGGCAGAAACTTTCCACTGTTAAATACGAAAATGAAACATGTGCCATGACGGTGCAGGGTCAGTTTAGCAATATGCTCAAGTCATTCAAGTCTGGTTCAAGTTTTTGGAAAATAATTTTTCTTGACACCAAAAATCCGATCTTCAAAAAAGAAATCCCCTAAATCTTTCAGCCCTAATTTTGAAAAGTAAAACGAGGAATCTCTAACCAAAGATACATTTGAGTTAGGGCTGCTCAATTAATCGTATTTTAATCGCAATTACGATTATGGCTTGCAACGATTACGAAAACAACGTAATCGAAATAAAACGATTATTTTTTTATTATTATTACTTTTCTTTTTTTTTTTTATATTCTTTTTTTTTAAATTGATTTTTCAGTTGAATTATACTTAAAGTTCAGGGTAATCAACTGCTAAAAACATACTGTTCACATTTTTTTTCTCCAATAAATTGATGTTTTCAAAGTAAATGGATAATCGTTTTTAATAATCGTGATATCAATTATTGCCCCAAATAATCGAGATTATGATTTTTGCCATAATCGAGCAGCCCTAATTTGAGTGTTCCCTAATCAAGGGAATGATTTAGGTTTAAACAATGTTTGGTAAATCCTAACATGCCTTTTTCTGAATACATTCCAGCATGTCTTGGGATATATGTGTAAACGATAACTAAGAAAAGCCATAGAAGAAAATGCACACCCTAATCACTCTTAGCTATAAACATACATTTTTCACTATAAAAAAGGCCATTGTCAACCAACATTGAAAGGGTTATTATAAAACATGTGGATATCAACTTTCATTAATATCCAGCAGCTGCAAAACAAGATAACTGGGTCAATAAAATGATGTGTAAATGAAGAGGACAAGGGCACAGCTGTTCATATGGAGCGCCAGAGAAAATCACCCTCTTCTTGCCCTCTGCAGTGGTGCCCAGAACCTCCTCTGATTGGACTCACATGACATCATCAGACTGAGAGCCCACTCCCATTGGCTGAGAGTGATGTCATGCTTCAGACGAAGGATTCATGGCGCATGAACACTGCCTCTAGCTCCTTGTGACTGACCCAGCTCTGTGGTCTCACTTTCTTTGTTTACAGTTTACATAACCTTACTGTTTTGCTTATTTAAAAAGGACAGTCTTTCTTTAAACCTTATACTATTATTTGAAAATACAAATCAATTGCAGGGAATATGATGTTTGTGTGTTTTCCTAAAAAAAAAGGGTAGCAAGGGCATTTCTTGTTCATCTCTAAAATTCAACCATCTGAGCATTTGCCTGCTTTTTATCTGAGGTCACAGCTTATCATGAATCAACTTGTAACATTGTAACAGTTTTATCTGTCCTCACTAGTTTCAGCCATTAGATAATTAACTCCAGCCTGTTCCAAAAGAGTTGACCTTGTGTAGCATTTGAAAAACTAAGCATAAATCTGTCAAATGTAGGGCGTTTTTATTACCCACCGACATGCACAAATGAGAGGCTACTCACTCCAATCAGTCATTGCAGCCAAATCTGGCCTCATATGACCTGAATGCAAATTAGCTGAGGTTTTACAACGCTACAAGCATAGAATAGCCATAGACAGTCAAGCATAGTGCTGATAGCGTAGTAGCTTCTTTATAAGCCAGTGAACCTTATGAGGTGCTGGTGTTGTCCTCAAAGAGAAGCATCAACTGAATGAATGAAGGGAAAAAACATTTTAGTTTGTGCCTCACGAGGGAGTAAGCGAATGCTGCAGACAACTTCCTAATTTCTTTTTTCATTACAATGTCCTGTAATCAATGGCTGGTTATTTGAGATGAATCCAGCACACTAACCTGCAGCCCTCCCAGTCAGAGTCTCTATTGAGCAGGCTTCTGAACGACCAACGGGAGCGCCGGCTGGGAGAGGGACTACGAGACCAGGAGCGGGACGGTGGCAGGAGGAGGTCCTGTGAAGGGATATCCTGACCTTGCACTCCCTCCTCCATCTGAGTGGCCACAGAGGAGCTGAGTGAGGGGCTCCTATGTGGAATGGTGCCCCTCTCCACAGGCTCCTTTATCATAGTTTGCTTTTTCCCCCATTGTCGCTTAGGAGTGCAGCATTGCTCTTCCTCATTTCGCTTCTTGGTCCGGGTCCTGCTGCGGTGGGATCGACCGTAGCGGCTCGAACGCGACTGTCTGGGGCTGGGCGAGCGAGACCAGGACTCTGTGTCGGAGGATGGTGGCAGGACAGTCAGTGTTGGGACGGGAATGGGATGAGCCAGAGTCATGCCTTCCTGTCCCACAGGTGTGGACATAGTCGTCTTATGTGTCTCTCTCGATCAAGAGAAGGCCACCAACAAGGGCTTGTTGCATTTTTATAGTTGAGACTGACCCACAACGGGCCAAGATGGTCTAGTTATGCTTGCATTTGATATATTTTTAGAAACAGGATGGGTTGAAACATAAGACAATCCTTCTGGACAAATTGACTCAGCCATATTAGATAAACATTAATCATGAGTTAAGATTTTGTAATATTTTCCGTATTTCTGTTGAACTTTAGTAAGTGGCTTGATGTCAAAGAAAAGGTTCAGCTGTAGGGGTTTCTTCACAGTGAAAAATAGATGCAACAGGAAGCTGGGAGGAAGTCTGTCAAATAGTTTAACAGGCGTTTGTGTTCTTTAGGCACTCCATTTCAGGTTGTCCAATGTATGTGTTTGTAGGGAGTGAATAAATGCTTTATTATCCCTTTTCGCTTTTCTGCATTTCTTGAACTGTCCGGCGTCACTTTCTTTCTTCAGTAATCGTTTGCTCTTCTCTCTTGTTTGGTAGACTTCAAGCTTGCCTTTTTCATAATCAGACTCATCTTAGCAAGAGTTGAAGTCTCAGACCAAGACAGATATGTGTCTGGAAGTAGCTACCTGAGGAGTGACAAGAGCAGAAACTTTGCATTCAAAAGGCTGGCCTACATCTGACTGCCACTTTTCTAAAAAATATAAAATCATGTACGTTTACACTAAAACAAATAACTGCGAGACTAAAGCTATTTCTGTCTGGTCTTTGATACTGTGTGCTCTGCCAGTTCTGGGAATATGAGGTATCATATGATGATGATGATGTATTGGCAATGTTATACTTTCCCGTTAGAGGGACGATCGATAGGATTTATTTAAAGTGGGCTAGTTTATGTTACGCTTGTTCTTTTGCCTATGACTGGAGAATATAAAGTTACGTTAGCTGAATATTTGAACAGTTTCTCCCTTCAAGCAACTCAGAAATAGCAATAACTGGGAGAGCATGGGACTGACTGACACCTGTCACTCTGGATTTATCATAAATGGAGAATAACAGATATCAAGAGAGATTTTAACCACCATGTGTTGCAAAGGAAAGCCTATTTGCCCATGGACGGATCTGTATCAACACACAGGTTCTCCATCTAAAATCCCTAGACAAAGAATCCCACAAAGCCAATGTCAGACACTGTAGCAATGTACTAAGACAGCACCTTTAAAAAAAAAAACACACATAGTTTATACCACCGATAACAAAGTCTAATTGCAACTATAGGCTATCAGTATCAAGGTCATAACAACATTAACACATACTGCAGATGTGTCCTCCAACAGGGACGGATTGGGTCACTCCATTGTCTGCCTTCAAAGCATTCACTTTCAAAGACCCAAGCACGTCTGACAGTATTTGCTGTGATCTGTTTGAACAAGACCAATCTTGGCACATACTTGTTTGTCCAGAGTAATCCACCATAATCCCCGTATAGCCTTCACTCCCTGGTCCACACAGCCAGATTTGTTTTACATGAAACATAGGCCACGTCAAGCTTTTATCACACACACTCACACACGGAAAAACAGCGATTTTAGATGTGACACAAACAGACAAATAGTTCCTTCAAAGTGACCATAGACTCAGTGTGACACAAGTTCCGAGGAACAGCTGCTCCTGCGAATTCAAACCAGTACTCAGTATGTGCTCAACGTTGTTGTTGAAACAACGCCAACCACTTATATCTCCTGACATGATATTGTGTGCGTTTTAAAGAACCAAGGACAGTTGTCTTGCAGACACAAATTCGGGTTCAATATGATAAACTTTTCAGCCTGGGAAAGTTGGATATCCTACCTCCCATTGGATGAAATCACTCCGTTGCTGTTGTCTTGCTCGGCCTCGAAAACAAGCCGAGCGACGGTGCGCGAAGTAATGTTAAAATCCACTTTTTCGCAGGAACACATCAACATACTTAGGTACGTGAAGACGCATTTGCCGGCAGCAGCTAGCAGTTAGCCATAAGCCAGCTAACGCTAAACGCAGCCAAATTTAGCTAACGTTTTCCCCAAGCTCTGAAGGCCGACAGCTCACAAAAAGATGACTATCTGCCTAGCAGGCTTTAACTTCCAGCAGATAAAGTACGACCCCGACGTCTTTCATTATCCTTTAAAACACTCCGGTTTAAAACAATGTTATTAACTAAAGGTGAAGCTAACGACCGAAGTTAGCTTAGCAGTAGGAGCGTACAAACTTGGTTTTAAAGTAACAGACAATAGCTTTTTTGTCGAAAAGTGAAAAGCAACGCCAGTCAGTCTACTGAATTACTTAGTACGTGGGGGGATACAAGAAGTCTCATTAAGAGAATATGTATCTTTGCTCCATATATTTAACTTAAAAAGAGCCACCAAACCTTTTCAATGGCCGTATTTCAGAAATTATAAAAGAGGATGTAATTAATACGTTATTACATGTTCAAAGGAACCAGCAAGACGAGACTAACACCCCTCCGGCAAACTTTGTGGTACAGCCCGGGGAAAATAACAGTCCAGAGGATGTGGCGTGAGAAGAAGACCAGTGTTTACATCACAACACAAGCCATTGATAAATAAACGATTACTCCCTCAACAAATATACTCTTTTAAATAATTTCAAACAAATCGACCGCATTTCACGCATGAACTGGGCCTGTTGTTACAACTAGGTGGCTTGATTACGAGAAAAAACAAAGCAGGCCCATACAATTTCACTAATCTGATTTGTGAAACACATCTCAGTACACCATGAGCAACAAGTACATGCTAATCCCCAGATTTAGTATAATTTCAGAGTTAAATTGAAGGGAACTGTTATTTGGCCGAAATTAATAGAAACATTGCGACCTCTAGTGTCTAACACTGTGTTTTGCATTGATTATGTGTAACCTGATAACTCATAATTTACATCACTACATTTCTTTAAAACTATATTAAGCAGACATTGAATTCTTTAATAATATAATTTGTAAGCAGTACAGAAATACATTAGGGCATAGCGCACATGGTAGATAGATAGATAGATAGATAGATAGATAGATAGATAGATAGATAGATAGATAGATAGATAGATAGATAGATAGATAGATAGATAGATAGATAGATATAGATCAGGAATTTGTATAGTTACAGTAGCAGCAGCATAGCATATTTATCTCACCCCTCGCCTCCTGCCGCTGCATTGTTTCATACGGTGTCATGCAGTATTGTTGGTAGGATGCATCCTGTAGGACATTGGATATCCTCTCCTCCAGCCCACTTGCAGTAAACACAGCCGATGACAAGTCACCTTGACTGAAGCTGGAAACAAAATAACAAACAATAATTTGATGCATTTTGAGATTTGCATTTCAGATGAGTTGAGAAAATAATTATTTTTGACCAATTATTAAAAAATAAATGTTGTGACTGGTGAAACATTTATTATTTTGTTCAACCAACAATCTAAAACCCAAGGATATTCTGTGTATAGCACTAAAACAAAAAATGTAACAAATCATCATAGAAACGCCTAACCCTGCTTAATTAACTGACTAATCATATTAGCTATTTTTCAACAATCTGAACATTGAAGTGTATTGCACAGGGAGTGTTACTCAAACTTTAACTCAGTTATAATGCCCACCCCCCATCATCATCTATACTTACTTTGCATATTTCAGTGTTATTTCCATAATGTTCAGCAGTCATGCCATACTTACAAAATACACAATATGATTAGAAATCCTCACACTTTAAACTTTAAAAGCTTTAGAACAGAAAATTGTAAAACCCTTATTGAAATAAAGTATTTTTCTAAAAGTAAAATGCACTATTTATCCACACATATCCTAAAAAATGCCCATCTTTTGTTGTCATTGATTTGCCGTTACCTGGTTTTTAGTTTAGATTTTCAGCCAGCAGTTTCCTCTGTATCCTTTCAAATCGATGGCAGAGCATCACAATGACATGGCAGTTTTAAATTATCTTTAGAATTACCAGGCATCCTCCGTCTTCTCACTCCCTGTGACCGCTCCTGCAATCGTCACTTCACAGGCTCCATTTCAAAACAGGGGATCAACGTCTGTGCTACATAGCCAAGCAGGCAACAAACTGCTCTAGGATAGGGAGTTGTGTTGCTGAGCACCTCAGGCTGCTGAATCGGGGGACTGGAAACTCGATCTGTGCTAAAAATAAAAAAACACCACCAGCATAGCGAGATGGGAGGTGTGTCACCCCCCCCCTGTGTATGCGTGTGTAGGGTCAAAAAGGTGCAGCACAGCCTCATATACACAACCCTCACACACAGGGTTTATCATATGTCAACATTTCCTTGAAATCCCCCCCCCCCCCCCCCCTCTTGTGTGTGTGGGCCAATCCAAGGTCTTACTCTCACTCCTCTCTTGGTCTCATGCGTGATTTCAAAGATGGCTTGGTTAATTTTAATTGTCATTAGCATTCACAGGGTACGAGAAGGTTAAAAGAGGTGAGGACCCTTATCAAGCGCTTCACTGCTCCTACTACTCCTAGTACTAGGATGGGTTAAAAGCAGAGAACACATTTCACTGTGTGTGCTGTGTGCTCTGCATGTGTGACCATTAAAGAGGGTTTCATCCCTCCCAATTCTAATTCTAAAACTGTGTCATCTGGTTACATCACATGACAACATCCCTGACCTCCACTTCAGCCAGAATACACAAACACACACAGGCACACACACAGGCACACACACAGGCACACACACACAAACACACACAGGCACACACACACACACACACACACACACACACACACACACACACACACACACACACACACACACACACACACACACACACACACACACACACCACACACACACACACACACACACACACACACACACACACACAGCCTTGGTGTCAGAAGAAATGCTTATATTCTTTTTTTTAAATAAAATGTTTGTTCAGCCTTAGGGGGGGACATGTTAAACACATGACAAGGCATTCCTTTTAATGAGAAAAAAAACTGATTACCGTCATCACGTCATACTGATTGCATCGACCATGTGCATCTCTATCAACATGCAAGGCCTTTAGTCAATGTCTGTTTTGTCAGCCTTGACTTCAGTGGCCTTGTTTTTCTGGCATTGACTGACTGTCAGTCCCTTTGAAGGCAGATATAAAAACTGTTGAGGAAAGAAGCTGTGTAACCTTTTCTGGTTTCAGTAACTGAACCAGAGGGAATTAAAGTGTGGGTGATTTATTTTTTTACAACATTTATGAATATAGTTTACATCATCATCGCCCGAGAGGGAAATTCTAAAGTACTTCACCATATCATGTGTGATTCACCAAACAAGACTGTTAAAGAAGAAATAACCACGAGATGAAATCATCACTTTAGCAAATTAAAATAGGTGGTGGCTAAAGAAAGAGCAAAAGCAGACGAGGAAACAGAATATTCAAATGAGATTACTTTTAATTGATTGTAGTAATGAAAACATTTACAACAGTCCAATCTTTAAGGCAATGAAGTCTAATAGAAAATAAGAACAGATTAGGTATTTTTCATAACCAGGACAAATTGTATTTAGCATTTAGCTCATGCACAAGTTCAGTACACAATCCCTAGCACTATATTTTAAACTAGCTTTAAAATTAAACTCAAAAAGGTATGGAGAATGATATTGCAGCTTTCCAGAGATCCCCATGAATTTGGGCAAAATCAACTTGTCTGATGAGATCTGAGAGTCTTAAAGCAAGGCTGGGACGAGTTAACTTTCCACATCCCAAGCACAGTTGAATGAAAGACAAGATAAACAGACACACATGTTTATCACTATCCAACTCGACAGATTGATCCTGAATAACGAGTGTGTTGTTGACTGGCATGGTAATTGCGTATTGGGTTGCAAGTTCATCAAAACAGCACACAACAAATAAAGAAATTCAAAGCTGATTTTTTAAAATGTGTCAAATATAACATCTAGGCTACAAAACAATCCCTAGCACATACTGTAGCAACTTAGCTGGAAGCATGCATCACATTATATTCTTCAAGATTAAGTCATATTTATTCATACTTGTCACTTTGAATCACATGTGTTATGTGAAAAAAAAACTTGTAAAAAAAAAAGTAATAATACACTTTATTTACGGAGCACTGTATAAAGTGTTTTGCAGAGAGAAAACTGAAACAGAAAATGCAAATGAAAGATTATAATATTATTACAATGGCACCTCAGATAAAATCTAAATACGCTTTACAATAAAAGTATGTTTTAAGAAGAGAATAGGAAGGACACACTGACTAATGGAGACAGATAGAGCGAGATAGACAGAGGGGATAAGGGCTGCTTTGAATAACCCAACATTCAAAATACTGGAGCAAAGGCTTCTCTGCTGAAGTGTCCTTGAGCAAAGAACTGAATCCCTGAAGCTGATCATGACCTCTGACCTGTGGAGAGGGAAAGAAAAACTGATCAAACTAAAGCAGCATATCATGTAATGGTAGGTTTGTACAGCTATCCCTTTAAGCCTCACATGGTTGTTTACCCTACTTCAGCATGTGTTTCTCTGAATTAATTTGTTTAACAAAACATGTCAGGGATGATTTTGCATGCCCGCCTTGCTTCTTCTTTTTTAAATTAAAGAATAAATATAGACTTCAATACATAGACCAGAATGATAATCTCTTCCCACAGATATTATAACGGTTGGCAAAATAAATAACTAAAGCATGTATGACTTTTGTAAGTTCTTTACTAATAATTAAACTTTTAATAATAAAAAAACCTTTAACAGGATGGAAACGTTTCCTGTTTGAGAGAACTTTCTTTGTCAATCTATAAATCATAAGAACTTGTCTGGAGTCTGGTCTATAGACGGCCATGCTGAAGTAATGGAATAGGTCTCGTCATCTCAGATTTCCTGCCGGTGTTCAACACTCACAACGTCCAACGCTCCTGGATTCACACGCTCTTAATATAGCTTGTCTAAAGTCATACGAGACTGCAGTTGAGACTCAAAACTAGTGTGAAGACACACAGTGACTCGGGTTGTTTTTGTAAACTTTTTTGACGTGAGGCTTTCCTTCATTTTTGGCATTTGTAAAATACAACATTGTTGATCTATTGGACTTTCTGGATTACATTGGTTTGCCATGAAGAACATGGAATTATTCGGGGATCAAGAAGCATTATGACAGTCATGTCAATCGCCACAGATATTTCTCCTCAAGGAAAGTTCAATATTTTGCTGGCCATAAATTGCTCCAGCAGATATGATATGCCACTTGTCTCTTTTGGTTGTCTTCAATCTTTTCGGTAAGTACAACATCATTTATGTTGCTGGGTAAAGTTGCATGTGTTAAAGGGAGCTTCTCTTTTTTCAGGGTCCTGCAGAGCTTTCTCATAAAATACAATCCTCAAAAGAAGTAGCTAAATTGCAATCACTGTAATATAATCTATCAAAGTGTTATATTTGCAATTTTATCAATGGTAGTTTATTAACAACTATGATTGGTTAAATCTCTACCATGTCCTTTAATACCTTTTTGTAGGTGTTTTAAGAAACTCAGAGAAAATAGCAAGCTGTTTCTCTGAGACAGAAAGCTTGCAATAAAGTTCAAAATGTTTTTTTATTTTTGTTTCTGATATCTTTTACCAAGTTAATTTATAAAACTAAAATAAACTGCAATATCTCTCTCTGGACTGTAATTTTAATTCCCCTGCTTAATGTTTTAGTTCATTTGCTGTGTTTGTTTTATATTGTGTATTTTTATGTCTTGTGTTAAGAACTTTGCTTTGATTTTAAAAGATTCTACATAAACTTGCCTTTTCTCATATGACCGCTAAACAAAAACAAAAAACAGCACCAGACCTACATTATAGGTTAAAAAACATATATGGATTGCAGCATCAGTTAATATACAGATATGTACAGACAAGTGCAAGTGCTTGATTACTTACCATGAAAAGTAAAGTTCCTCATATAATATTTAAAGTGGACCTATCATGCTATATTTGAATAATATAGTGTAGGACCATACCTATATAAGGCATATTTATACTTTTTTTTTTGCAAAAATACCAAACAGATCATGCATTTTAGCCATGCCTCATTTCGCTCAATTTGAAAAATGTTAGCTGTTTTTGCAAGGGTTGATTCTGTGAGCAACAGCACCATCTAGAGGCCTGGCATATGTACTACAGCGTCTCCAGCGCTTTCGAACGGCAATGGCCATGGCTGTCTCCTCCTGATTGGTGGAGTTGGCCCAATAGCCGTAGCGCCACTGTCCTGACGTCAGGACAGTGTTCAAATCTGGATCAGTTTTTATCAGATCCGTTGCAGCCCCTTTTTTAGAGATTTGGGTATGGAGGAAAATAGAGAGGGTTGTGTTTTCTGACACTTGGTGAGTTCCCTGGAACACCGGGGACACATATTCATGTATAAAAGACGTACAAAAGTGCATTTTGCATGATAGGTCCCCTTTAAGATAAATAAGAAGTAAGCACTATAATTATACCCTTGCATGCTCTACCTCTCTTACCTATTCTTGTCTCTTTTCGTTATTTTAAATCCTTCTTTGTCCACCTCTCCCTCTGTAGTATTTCAGTGCCATGGTGGCTGTGCGGAGGTGGACTCCATGACTGAAGCCGTGGCAGGAGAAGGATTCCTGCTGGGCTGCATCTCCTGTAAGAAGAGAGAGGAGGTGTCCGCCCGAGCCACGGTGGACTGGCACTTCAAACCGCTGGGAGTGGAGGATTTCAAGCCAGTGAGTTCACAACAGCCTTTAAAGGTCCCCTATGATACTGTTTTTCATCAATATATTATAGGTCTCAGATATATACAAAACATGTCCCTGAAGTGTTTGGCTCCAAATACCAAACAGATCATGCATTGCAGCTTCCCATAATCCCCTCTGTTTCAGGCCTGTTTCAAAAGTGCTGATTCTCTGTCTGTTACTTTAGATGAAAATAAGGAGCCACTCCCCACGCCCCTCTGAGAGATATTTGGTTAAAAAGAACACAATGGTGCTCTAGTTGGTTATTGGCTAACACAAGCCAAAAAATCATTTTGACATAAAGTGGCCAAAATCTGATCAGCTCATTTTCAGACAGGTTTTTATATAAATGGATCAGGACAAAAACAGAGCGAATCTTTTTTCCTGAAACTTTCAGAATCTCTTAACGCAGAGGGGACACATGCTTATGTATAAAAGACATGAAAAAGAGGATTTTGCATAATAGGTGACCTTTAAAAGGAACGAAAAAAGCTGGCTAGGGTTTCTGATTGAGAGGGGCAACTGTAATACCGTCCCATAAGGTACATTTTTGTAAGCCTATTTTCTTTATTGTATACTAGCTTTACTTTATGAAGACACTAACTTTATTTTGGTTAGTGTTCTACTCTACATTTATATTGTTATCTTTTACAATGTTATTATCATGAATATAATGTTTAGTATTTCTGCTTTTCTAGAAGGACGTGCTACATTTCCCATAATTTTAAACTACTAAGGAGAAAAATGTATATAAAAGTTCAAAGGGCTTTATTGTCGTATGCACAGCTACAGTTTAGGTATGCAATGTCAACCAATAATACAACTTAAATATATATAAGACATACAAAAAAAGTGCGAGAAGAAACAACAAGAAGAAACAGAGAAGTGAGAAAATGCTGCAAGAGAATGGTGCTATATGCAATGCATGAAAAGTTAACTATATGCAGGTAAAATAGAATAAGATGAGCTAATGTAATGTAAATGCCGTACAGTGAAATAAAACACTAATACTAGTTAAATATGTGAGATGCAAACAGATGAATGGTATGAAGTTGTGAAGGTACATAGTGTTGCTGGGGTGATGGGGTCTTTGATAATCCTGTGGGCCATATCACTAGAGATAAATTATTGTAGTGTATGCAAGACATCTATCTGAGAGTATGCATGCTCTTACATCTTTCCCTGGATTACAGGAATATTGAAAACATTCCCATTTGTTTCCTCCTCTCAGATTTTCCACTATGAACACCCCAGTGCCAACATCATGGATGAGGATTTCAGAAACCGTTTAGAGTGGCATGGGACAAAAAACAGCGACATACAAATAGGAGCCATTTACATCCATAACGTCACCTTTAATGAAACGGGGACGTTCCGCTGCACAATCCACCGCACTCTCTTCCTGCGGCAGTACAATGAGAACGTCACTGTGGAGAAGGAGGTGGAGCTCACTGTGGTGGCTGTAGGTAGGTGGGGTGTACATGTGTAAAGGCTCTGGTCCTTCACTTTAGTAAAAGATCTAATAAAACTATGTACAAATACTCAGAAAGATATGCAAGTAGCCTAATAATTATGTAGGAAAGTGCCCCCTGTGACTAATGTATGTTAAAATATTTGGTCATTTTAGAGTTTGGGCCTTGAACAGTTAGAAGTTCAAATGCAAATGTATTCTTTGAGGGAACTGAAAGGAAACCACTTGTTTATTTTTGTCACAACGATCCAGAATAACACAGATATTTTTTAGTAAGGGGTCAAGAACCGGCAATATTGGAAAACACCGGCATACTGTGTCAGGTCAATGTTAGGTTTCTAAAAGGTTGTCTGACACTTGGATTTGGGGAGAAAAATGTGTTGGTATCCAAAGTTTGGATGATAACGTGAAGCGTGGGTGGGATTGAAACAAGAAACAGTGACTTAAGTATGACCTGCCAATCAAGTAAACACAATCCAAAACGTAGTTCAACACAGGGGACAGAACGTTGGCTCTATAGGAGAACAATACACTTTTTGATAACATTGCCAAAAACAATGTAAGAGTGGTTTTACACTCAACTCAGTTATTGAGAGACCTAAAATGTGGATAACAATACTTTTCCTCATTTTAAAACCTAAAAATAATGCAATTCTAAGGCACTCTTGCATCGGCTTAATTTGTTTCACTTTTCAGAGCCACAGTTGACGTCCCCCTGTTTTAAAGCATTTCTAGGTTCATGATTGTAGGTTAGGACTTAAACAGAAAAGTTTTACATTTAATCTATATTTTTAACTTCCTTTTTTACAAGATTCTGCACAAAAGACTAAAACCTGCAGACACGCTTCCTCTATTTTGCTACACGTTGATTTTCTTTCCCAGCCAATCGGGAGCTGACATCGGTGGTCGCAGAGATCATGATGTACGTGCTGATCGTGGTTCTGCAGCTGTGGCTCATTGGGGTTCTGATCTACTGCTACAAGAAGATTTCAGAAGAGTACGAAGCTCGAGAGGCCCACAAAGCTCTCAAAGCTCAGGCAGTGTGAGTCATTAGTCTTTTAGGTGATGCATTACCAAATTGATTGATTGTATTCAACATTAAACTGGGTCATACATTTGAATACAGTACACTATATATAAGTGTTTGACCAAATGGTGTCCATTTTTTTGATTGTCTTCATTTTGTACACAATGAGGTTCAGAGGTTTGTGTTTTTATCACATCTTTTCTTTTTAATTTCTAGGCTTGCAAAAGACAACTGTGATGGGGTGCAGCTAGAGTGACATTACCAGTGAGTTAGATTTATCCTAAACAATTATACACAATTACTGGCTTGCGCAACGTCTTATTTAGGAAAATGTGATCATATTACACATATAAAAGCATGTGTTTCTGTTTAACTTTTTATTTTGTATCCATCAGGTAAAAAATATCTTCTCTGCGAGATTGAAGTTTCTAACTGTACCACAAATGGCACAATTACTGTATAAGAAGTTCATTTCAAACACCTTGGCAGAAGCCCGGTTGTTTATACTGAATCTATCCTGTATTATTAACTGTAACCAGAATCAGATGAACGTTTGTAGAATTGTGAAAAAAAGCCTTTTTTCAAGGTCTTTGAAAACAAATGGCCTTCAATTTAGGAAATCAAAATTGTTATGAATCTTTGAATAGTCAATGATGTACTTTAATCATAAACATTTTTGAAATTCCCAGAGATAATTCCCTAAAATGATGTTTTTACTTTTTGCATACTGCGTTTGATAAAGTCCTGATAACACAGAAGTATTCAACTTAAAACAATGAGATGTAGAAATGCAAGAAACCTTGGTAATGCTGCTCCTCTAGGTCATAACAAGTGTATCAGTTATCTAAACGACCATTGACAAACGACTGACTTATTAATTCAGTATTTCTGAACACTTAAAAGCACTGACACTTATTTATCTGCATGCCTTAGCGCTCAGTTCTACAGGATCAATAGTGAAAACAGAAATGTGTGTCAATAAAATATATAGCTTCAAGTTGACTGGTGGTACAACGGGCTGATTTGTGTGCCAAAAGCTGCTCTTAATGCAGCTCATGACATTAATATGATCTTATGATAGATAGGCCTAAGTTGGAACACTTTATATTTTGAGATTTTAACGTGAGAGTGAATGATAACATTGATATCTCTCATTGTTAAGCAGGATGTCAGGATGTCAGACTAAACATATCCGTTGGTGGTTTTCTGCACGATAAAGTTAGTAATTTAACTTGAATAAAATACATGTTTTTATAAATGGTTTTGCTTTCTGTCTTTTTCTGTCTTGGCAAAGAAATGTAACATAATAACCTTACAATTTTCCACTACTGAAGAATTTCATACGTTCTCTGGATGTTGCCTGTAATATCTTTCGTAAGAATCCTGGGTAATGCGAATACCTTGTCTGAAAATGTTTTGGAGAAGATACAACATGGATCTCTTGACTTTGCACTGCTTGCCAATACCACTACAGAATATTCCAAAATATGTAGCGGCATACAGGCCTATCTTAAATCCTGTTTAATACGTTTCAGAACACACACACACACACACACACACACACACACACCACACACACCACACACACACACACACACACACACACACACACACACACACACACACACACACACACACACACACACACACACACACACACACACACACACACACACACACACACACACACACACACACACACACACACACACACGACTACAAGACTGAGTTAAAGGACGTTTGGAGGTGGTAGTGCGTAACACGATCTAGTCTGAGCTGCAGACTGTCCTCCGCTCTGAAAGCAGCTTTGTTCTCCTCCTGAAGCCTGGAGCCTCCTTCTCCTACTGCAAAATGCGACATTAGAGATTAGATAAATAATTAAGTCAATGCATCCATCCACATACACTGTTCACACAATGGGTTTAAACACTGTATTTTAGCCTGAAGTGATGATGAAAACTGTATCTCTTTGCAATACTTAATATAGTTTTTTTCCTGATTTCTGGTGTCACACAATTATTTTTCACATTGAACATAAAGACATTAAACCCACATGACATATTTTTAGAATGACTATCATGACATCTTACCAAGTAAACAAGACAACATCCTTACTCAATGAATATGCTAGTCTATACATTGGTTAATTTTAGTTTCACCAGTATAGAAGAGTTGTTTAAGTCAAGCTACACCACTGCCTCGCTATACTGAGCTTTTGACCTTGGCCTGTGACCTCCTCGTTTCATTAAAAGTGTTGACAAGTTGAACATGCAGCATATCTCTTCCCAGAAAAGCATGAGCATGAAGGAGGGCCCATTATGACCAAGACAGGCGTAAATGTTGCTTCTATTCAACGTGTAGTTTAAGAGCTGCTTCTAATCCTGCTGGAGATTGGACACGAGTTGAAAAGATCGATGTTTGCTGATGACAACGGAAACTAATTCCATTTCCTTGAAAGGTAGGCTTTCCTTTTTACTGCATGTAGCAGGAATAATGAAAAAACACTTATTTGTATTTTGTATCAGTTCCCTTTTAATCTCACGGCATAACCTTTACATTTGGATTATTCAGCGCTTTCATTTCAGTTTTTTGTGCGGTACTCATCACAGGATACAATTCCAACGTGTTACTTTAACATGAAGACATACAAATGCGTTGCTTAATACAAATGTATAGATTCTGGATAACTGGGATTTATTTACTCTGAGGTACATGTTACTTTGTGACACTTAGATCAATGTCTTGCTTATTATGCCTCCCATTTAGCTACTCAATCTTTTTTTGTAATACTTTAATGTGCCTACATTCCTGCAGATTTGAAAGGAAAACATGCCATGTCTTTTGGCAACTCATGAAATCAGCAATCTGCAACTCAGGAATAAAGTCCTTATTTGCCTCTGAGTGGTTGTAACATGTTAGAAGGAACAATTCAGGTATTATTAAAGCTAAATGATACAATAGTAAACCAAAGTTTAATTCCTGCAGAGATAGTGGTATTACCTGTGAGATGAATCTTTTTCTTACCGTCTCCTCTCTCTTCCAGTTGCAGTTAGCTGAGCGTCCAGCAGAGGTCGGCCATGTCCCACATCAACACCACGGAGCTGCAGTCGCTCCTGCTCTCATTCCTGCAGCACTGCCTCAACAGCACAGGCATGCTGTCTCCACAGCTGCCTCAGAACTACACTACCCAGCAGGCTGTGCACCACGGGGCTGGAGCCGGAGCCAAGGCCAACTCTCAGTCTCAGGGCATGCTATATATCCTGCTGGTGGTTGGCATGTTCAGCTTCTTCACATTCGGCATCATGCTCAGCTACATTCGCTCCAAGAAGCTTGAGAACTCTCAAGATCCGTACCACCAGTACATCGCCCACGACTGGACCAAGGTGGTGTCTCGGTCCAGGGCCGTCGCCCAGGCGCTGCACAGGGAAGCAGCAGGAAACGGAGCCAGAGGCAAGGAACCCATCGTCATCTGCAACCCTGCAACCCTGGAGCAGCTGCCAGACTAGAATGAGACATTTAGCTATTTAAACACTTCCCACAGTTAAACATCTAATACACTGTAACACTAGATTTTTGATCACCTTAACTTTTAATGTCACATAGCACCACAATTTAAAGTGTTAGGTGTGTTTTTTCAGATTAGTAATTTCATAGAATGTACCTCATGTTCTTTATCAACACATGCAGATCCTCACATTTTACAGTCACATACCCATGATCGCTCAATACTGCTTTGCCAATAGCACCTGATGACAATCCAGCATATCTGCACAACAGCAGTGACACAGAAATAAATTGGTGACAGAATCGTTTCTGATTGCATATACTGTAAGTGTCTCTAAAATATTACCCCTATTGATTTGACATATATTTTCTGTTTAGTTTGATTCAGAGTTTTAGTATTTTAATCTGAGAAAAGTTCCTCATCCAACACAGCAGGCCTTGTTTTGTGTTTTGAGGTTTAGTTACTGCTTTGGATCTTTTTTTCTCTTCCTTCCACCTCTCTCGCTCCTTTTCTCTCTCTCTCTCTGCTGGTCCAGTCTGTGTTGGTGTGCTCCTTTCACAGCTCGGTCAATCTCTCGTGATAAACTGAAGTGAACCATTTGCATATTGAGCATCGGAACAATGAGGTTGTAATTGTCCACCGTCTTTTTAAGTTTCACTAAATCCCCCTCTGCGGATTCACACAGCTGCTCCCATTTGCTTTGCTCTTTAGGAGCCAATGGGTCACCAAGCCTGGCTCTCTCCTCCAATAACTCATTTCGGATCTCTGCGATGGTCTCTCGGATGTCGCGTTGTGTGACGACCCAGGATGGCTGGTAACCGTTGTCGAAGAGGATGAGGTTGAGGTTGTGGGTCATAGGATCAGCGTATGGATTGTACTCAAACTTATTGAGGGGCTTTCCAGCTCCACTCAAGTTTCTAAAGTCTCCTCGTGCCATGGACTCCTGGATCATGTCCTCCACAAGCCGCTCCACAGCTCTGAAAGCAGCTTTGTTCTCCTCCTGAAGCCTGGAACCTCCTTCTCCTACTGCAAAATGCGACATTAGAGATTAGATGAATAATTAAGACAATGCATCCATCCACATACACTGTTCACACAATGGGTTTAAACACTGTATTTTAGCCTGAAGTGATGATGAAAACTGTATCTCTTTGCAATACTTAATATAGTTTTTTTCCTGATTTCTGGTGTCACACAATTATTTTTCACATTGAACATAAAGACATTAAACCCACTTGACATATTTCTAGAATGACTATCATGACATCTTACCAAGTAAACAAGACAACATCCTTACTCAATGAATATGCTAGTCTATACATTGGTTAATTTTGGTTTCACCAGTATAGAAGAGTTGTTTAAGTCAAGCTACACCACTGCCTCGCTATACTGAGCTTTTGACCTTGGCCTGTGACCTCCTCGTTTCATTAAAAGTGTTGACAAGTTGAACATGCAGCATATCTCTTCCCAGAAAAGCATGAGCATGAAGGAGGGCCCATTATGACCAAGACAGGCGTAAATGTTGCTTCTATTCAACGTGTAGTTTAAGAGCTGCTTCTAATCCTGCTGGAGATTGGACACGAGTTGAAAAGATCGATGTTTGCTGATGACAATGGAAACTAATTCCATTTCCTTGAAAGGTAGGCTTTCCTTTTTAATGCATGTAGCAGGAATAATGAAAAAACACTTATTTGTGGGTAAGCCTTTTTGTATCAGTTCCCAATCTAACCCTTACATTTTGATTATTCAGCGCTTTCAATTCAGTTTTTTTGCGGTACTCATCACAGGACACAAGTTGAAAAGATCGATGTTTGCTGATGACAACGGGAACTAATTCCATTTCCTTGAAAGGTAGGCTTTCCTTTGTACTGCATGTAGCAGGAATAATGAAAAAACACTTATTTGTGGGTAAGCCTTTTTGTATCAGTTCCCAATCTAACCCTTACATTTTGATTATTCAGCGCTTTCAATTCAGTTTTTTTGCAGTACTCATCACAGGATACAATTCCAACGTGTTACTTTAACATGAAGACATACAAATGCGGTGTTTAATACAAATGTATAGATTCTGGATAACTGGGATTTCTTTTCAAATCACTCTGAGGCACATGTTACTTTGTGACACTTAGATCAATGTCTTGCTTATTATGCCTCCCATTTAGCTACTCAATCTTTTTTTGTAATACTTTAATGTGCCTACATTCCTGCAGATTTGAAAGGAAAACATGCCATGTCTTTTGGCAACTCATGAAATCAGCAATCTGCAACTCAGGAATAAAGTCCTTATTTGCCTCTGAGTGGTTGTAACATGTTAGAAGGAACAATTCAGGTATTATTAAAGCTAAATGATACAATAGTAAAGCAAAGTTTAATTCCTGCAGAGATAGTGGTATTTCCTGTGAGATGAATCTTTTTCTTACCGTCTCCTCTCTCTTCCAGTTGCAGTTAGCTAAGCGTCCAGCAGAGGTCGGCCATGTCCCACATCAACACCACGGAGCTGCAGTCGCTCCTGCTCTCATTCCTGCAGCACTGCCTCAACAGCACAGGCATGCTGTCTCCACAGCTGCCTCAGAACTACACTACCCAGCAGGCTGTGCACCACGGTGCTGGAGCCGGTGCCAAGGCCAACTCTCAGTCTCAGGGCATGCTATATATCCTGCTAGTGGTTGGCATGTTCAGCTTCTTCACATTCGGCATCATGCTAAGCTACATTCGCTCCAAGAAGCTTGAGAGCTCTCAAGATCCGTACCACCAGTACATCGCCCACGACTGGACCAAGGTGGTGTCTCGGTCCAGGGCCGTCGCCCAGGCGCTGCACAGGGAAGCAGCAGGAAACGGAGCCAGAGGCAAGGAACCCATCGTCATCTGCAACCCTGCAACACTGGAGCAGCTGCCAGACTAGAATGAGACATTTAGCTATTTAAACACTTCCCACAGTTAAACATCTAATACACTGTAACACTAGATCACCTTAACTTTTAATGTCACATAGCACCACAATTTACAGTGTTAGGTGTGTTTTTTCAGATTAGTAATTTAATAGAATGTACCTCATGTTCTTTATCAACACATGCAGTTCCTCACATTTTACAGTCACATACCCATGATCGCTCAATACTGCTTTGCCAATAGCACCTGATGACAATCCAGCATATCTGCACAACAGCAGTGACACAGAAATAAATTGGTGACAGAATCGTTTCTGATTGCATATACTGTAAGTGTCTCTAAAATATTACCCCTATTGATTTTACATATTTTTTCTGTTTAGTTTGATTCAGAGTTTTAGTACTGTATTTTAATCTGAGAAAAGTTCCTCATCCAACACAGCAGGCCTTGTTTTGTGTTTTGAGGTTTAGTTACTGCTTTGGATCTTTTTTTCTCTTCCTTCCACCTCTCTTGCTCCTTTTCTCTCTCTCTCTCTGCTGGTCCAGTCTGTGTTGGTGTGCTCCTTTCACAGCTCGGTCAATCTCTCGTGATAAACTGAAGTGAACCATTTGCATGTTGAGCATCGGTACGATGAGGTTGTAATCGTCCACCGTCTTGTTAAGTTTCACTAAATCCCCCTCTGCGGATTCACACAGCTGCTCCCATTTGCTTTGCTCTTTAGGAGCCAATGGGTCACCAGGCCTGGCTCTCTCCTCCAATAACTCATTTCCGATCTCTGCGATGGTCTCTCGGATGTCGCGTTGTGTGACGACCCAGGGTGGCTGGTAACCGTTGTCGAAGAGGATGCGGTTGAGGTTGTGGGTCATAGGATCAGCGTATGGATTGTATTCAAACTTATTGAGGGGCTTGCCAGCTCCACTCAAGTTTCTAAAGTCTCCTCGTGCCATGGACTCCTGGATCATGTCCTCCACAAGCCGCTCCACAGCCTGAGTGATCTTGATCTTTCGGCTCCGCTGACGTATGTCCTGCTCTATTACTGCCCCCTCTGCAGCGGCTGCCCTCTCGTGCTCCCTCTGCCGGTAGTTAAAACCCAGCTCGGATGCCCGGTCGACACGAATCTGTCGATACTGGCGCTCACACTGGCTGGGCGTGCCTGAACCCACACCCTGAGGTAGTGTCTGTGGGGAAAGGCTTTAGCTCTTGAATTATCTTCATCCTCCACTTGCTTGCCTCCATCGGTGCGATTGGTCTTAGTCTGATGGGCCAGAACGGCACGGTCGGCATCTTCAACTCGAGCAAAAAGCATTGCATCTGCAGTTGGAGCCCCAGAGTCTGGGTGATAGAGCTTAGCGAGGCGCAGGTAGGCCTCTTTCACCTGACCTGGACTGCTTTGTGCCTCGTCAGGCAGCTGGAGGATCCTGTAGCTCTCTCGCAGGCTTCGGCTCATCTGGTGCATTGAGCTGAGCTCTCTGAGCAACAGGGTCTGTCGAGACAAAACGAGTAGAAAACGGCCATGGTAGAAGCCGCTGTGGGAAACCAGGAGGTGGAAAGTGCAACTCATTTATAGCACACTCCTGCGGATTTAAACATTTGAAAAAGTTATTGTAGACAACCAGTCATATAAATTATGTTTCAATAAAAAGGTAGCTGATTCTGTCAGGTAGGAGATTACTTAGGAGACTACCAGTAGTACAAATAAGCTTAAATGAAGCCTCAAACAAAATGTATGGTTTCTTTGCTTTTAGCCTTTGGATGTTTTACGAATCTGATAGTTGGGTTAACTTTTAAATGAAATCTCCTTTGCTTTGGTATTAACTGTGTTTTGATCTGTCTGCAAACAGATTTGGGGGCAATAAATAAAGATTGATTGATAAAGGGTAACTCAATGTTTTTCACCTGTCCTTATAATGAATATCCCTATTTTTAACACATTTATAATATTGGTAATACATTTTGAAATTGTATGCTTCACGTAACCCTTCTGTTCTTATTCACTTGATATCCTCATTTAATGTGGCCTCACAGACCCTGCTGTATGTGTGAACATGATTGCAAAATAAATAATTGTTTTCCCCTTTATATGTTGTTAATTTTCTTTTGAACTTATAGAAATCCTAAATGATTGAGGTGATACGTCTTTGCCATAACCAACGTTAACGTTAGCTTTCTGAGCAGTCAGCTCAAATAGTCAAAGTTTTGTTCATAACTTTTCATACAAGATCACACAGTTGTGTTGCAGTGTCATCATGAGAAATCCACAACAAGGCTAAAACTAACTTGAATGACTTACTGACACAAATCACAGTAAATGCCTCTCACATATCCACATTAATAACTATTATATGACAACAAAGATAAGGTTTACGTTGAAGGTTGATTTACTGCTAGCTAGGAAACACTATGACTTCAGGAATAAGTAAAGAAAATAGGATAACTTTCACGAATTAACGCTGAACACCGAATAGACCAAGCCTGTAACGATTGTATTATATAACCTTCTACTTTAAACCTAAGACAAATTCATGTTTACCTCAGTGCGGCTCGTAGTTGTTACATACTGGACCTTCTTCTTCTTCTGCTACCTCGCATTGCCCTCTATCGTCCACCTGGTAACCTGGCAACAGGAGGGCACTACGAGAAACGGGAGGGATCAGAAGACTCAAATCCAGTACACTCGGCAATAGTAAAGAAATTATTTAGAAAAAAATAGAGTAACTGTGACTCTAACAATAATTATGGAAGTAATACATAATAATCCTATTAGATCTTTAGCTTTGTACCCCATTATTCTTGCTTCATTGATTTTCAACCTAGTTTGAGTCAAAAGCTAAGAACCACAAATAACAATCAGAATATAAAACATTTTTTTAAATAATTTTTTATTTGACCATCCACAAAATTCAGCCATCATTGTTACAAACTGGTACATTCAAAGGATTCAGAACATCCATATGGTAAAAGGACACATTTGTATACAGATGCAGCACTTCAGATAGGACTCCAGCTTACAGCTTCCTGCCTTGACCTGCCTAAAACCAGCGTCTGGGAATGTTAAGCCCTCCCACTATTTTCCAAGAGGGCGTTGCCAGATTTTCAATTTCAGGATTTAACCAGGAGATGGCGCTTCATTCACAAATACAGAAAGAGCACTTCAAACTGCCTTCTTTAAAGTTCTTACAACTTTAAAGAAGGCAGTTTGAAGTGCTTTATTAAGAGCATTATTAAAGAAAAACATTGACTGCAAAAAACAGAAACAATGACATAAAAAATAGATACATTGTATTTTAGGTATAAATCTTGAACGAACTGAATAAAATAAACTGTATGAAATATCCTCAACAATAATCAATGATTTATTGCTTAACTTTGAGAATGTGAGGGAAATATTTCTTTACCTCGATAACCCCAGAAGCATCATCATGAAATGTCCATTTATATTCATGCTTGAAAAGTATTTACAATAATTTTCCACTTCTGTTTTGAAAACTTTGCAAAATTCAGTATGACTGACACCTTAAAGATATGTTACATTACTGAAGAAAAACATTTACGTTTTGTTGCTGAATAGATAAACCTGAATAAATCTGCAATTCTGCAAGAGTTGAATCATGATAAAATATATACATTTGTGTGTATCAAAATATGTTAGTTCAAGGTGATGATCATTTTCATCCAGCATTCACTGAATGAAAGCTTGTTTAGAACCAGCAAGATGTCTCCTTGCTCACTCTCTGGATCCGTGTTCATCCACTGAGTTTCTTTGAGAAAGGAAAAGCCATTGTTAGTGCATTTTATGGCTCACCAACCTTAAATGTTAACACAGAGAGAGATCAATAAAACACAAACACAGATATGGTTGAGATTCATTATTATTCAGTTGCGCAACAACAAACAATAATGGGGAAACATTTACCTTGCTTCACAGCAACCAATCGCAGAAATGCCCCCCGAGTAAAAGAAACAGACAGCAGATATAGGTTTTCTAAATGACGCACCCACATTTTCCTAATCATGTTTAATGCAGGAACATACACTTGAACATACAGCTAACACGCCAACATCCTTATTGTTTCTTAGCTAATGCATGCTATAATGTTCCAGATGTTGAAAGGTCAACATCTCATGACATCTTTAGGAGAAATTCATATCTTGTCAGGATATGAATTTCCCAATTAACAAAACATATCCTACGTTTGCACATGAACGCACACACTTTTCTTTACATTAACTAACACACAAACCTCAATGTTTTCCCTCTAACTCTATTATAATCTAAACATCCTCTTTGTCAGCTCACTTTAAGTGAATAATTAGCAAAGAGACGATTAGCCTCTTAGCTCTGGAAACTGTAATTCAATAACTTACCCAGTTACTATGACTAGGTGCAAGATTGATATAACACCATCAGTGACAACAGATCATACTCAGTTGACTTTAAGGAAACATAAAAAGCTTCATTGCTTCAAATTACACTATAAAATCTGGTAGTCAAAACAAATAAATAATCTGATGTTCAAGAGTAAAGTCTACACTCATGCTACCAAATCTTTAAGGCTGTGTGTGCAAAGCTTTGAGTGATTTGTTCACATCCGCATGCTTACATGATCATTTTTAACAAGTTGATTGTTTAACACGTTCACCATCTTAGCTTAGCATGATACCATGTGCCAAAAATACAGAATGATGATTATCTTACGTTATAATGGCTCTCGGCACCTACCTTCCTCCGCAGTATTCTCAAGCTGATTATCCTTCAGCTGCAACACATTAAATGGAAATTCAAATTGGGGTAAAATCAGCCAAAATGCTTTCTTTGTTAATAATAAACCAAAACATGTAGGCACAAAGCTAAAGCCTTTTTCAGACACTTTAACATTGCTGGTTTAAGCTATAGTTCCCAACACCATGATGGGAAATAATTCCCAATATACCGATTTGACAAAAAGGCAGAGGCATTTGTTTTTCGTGTTTTCGTACATCTCTTTTCAAACTGAAATCTGCTTTTCGTTAGTAACCCACCCTTTAGTTTAATTGTGTCATACTTGAGTGTCATTATTTTGTGTTTCAACATTTTACCGACTGTGAGGACCATACGGAGCATTAGTTGTGCCTTTAAAAGCTGCATGTACATAATACAATCATGAACTGTACTCAAATTGAGAATTCTAAAAGCTACATAACTGACTTTCAAAATATATTTTGGATGTAGAGCTACCCTGCACAAAGTTTTTGATTTAGAATTTAAGCATATTATATCTGTTATAAATGGTACAACAAAGACGTGATTAAACTTTTGACTGCGTTTTGCTCTGCATCAGCCAATCGGCTTGCTACTCCCTCACTAAGAGTGCTACCCAGATACACCTCAACAAACACACGCCTGTTTGCTATCTTGGCTCCAAAACAGTATAACAAACTCCCCTGATATCGGGATGGCAGTAAATCTGCACATCTTCTGTCAGACTGAAAACTGATGCACCTTGGCTAATAAATCAAATAAAAAAAATATCACATTTCTGTATGTAGCACCTACAAAGTGTTGGCTTATTTTAAGCAGACGCAGTTTAAATTGTTTTCCTACTTAAAGCAAATGTCCTTGCAGGATTCTTACTTTTTTCATTTCTATCTTCATGGTTGATTGCACTTATTGTAAGTCGCTTGAATGTAATATAAAAATTCCACTATTTCTCAGTTTCTTCACAACTTACCTTTGGATCCTGAGCCGATGTCTGACAACTTCTGCACCAGGTCATTCCTGTTTATTTTCTGGAAAATCTTCTTGGTCACCTCCAAGGACTTTTGGCTGTAGGTCTGCGACATCAGATCCACCAGGTCTAATATGTTACTGTTTTCCAGTTGGCTGCATGAGATGCGTGGGAGGCCTGCGAGGACGTCACTGTCCCGCAGGTACCACTTACATTTGTTGAACTCTTCCTGTCCCAAATCTTCCAGCATTTTCAAAAGCCTCTCTTTTGTTGTTGTGACTGATGCCACCTGAGGATTTTAAAGTGAACAAAGGGAGTTATTATTGGAGTATAATGTCATAGCTGAAAAGCTCACCTGAATGAAACATCAGTTGTGGGAGGACCATCAAATGAAAGCTGTTTTGATTGACTTTACTCACCCCCTGCATCTCATCAGAAGAGTGTTCCACTGAAAAGAAAGGAATTCAAACATATTGTATGAAAGATTGATTGAACATCTTACTTCCAACACTTTGTATCAGACTATTTTGATTCAAATAAATAAATTACAATGGCTTTATCACAGAATGATCAGCAATGTTGGCAGCATGTCAGATTTCACACATTTTGTGAGTAATTTAATAAAACCCCAAAATGTAGCTAGTTGGGTTTATGTTCTCTTTCCTGTCCTGTATTTCTAAAAACTCCAACAGAGTGACACATCTTCTCTCTAGCGGATTGCGTCAATGTCAGGAGCCAGTACAGATTTATTGCTCTCCATTTTGACACAGCAGACAAATTACTTTCATTAATCATTATATTAATTAAATCGGGCTAGTTTTACGTAGAATTGCTCTACCTGTGTGTGTGCAGTTCAGCTGGCAGAGGTGTTCACAGACATCTTCAACAGGTCCCTGCTGAAGTCTGTAGTCCCTGCATGTTTCAAACACTCCACCATAGTTCCTGTCCCCAAAAATAATAAAACCACCAGCCTCAATGACTACCGCCCAGTGGCACTCACCTCCATCATCATGAATTGCTTTGCGCTGTTAGTCAAAACATTCATCACCTCCTCCCTCCCTGACTCTCTGGACCCCCTGCAGTTTGCCTACAGAGCAAACAGGTCCACAGAAGCCATCGCCCTCACCATCCACACTGCCCTCTCACACCTGGACCAGAGGAACACATATGTGAGAATGCTGTTCACTGACTATAGTTCAGCTTTCAACGCCATCGTGCCCTCCAAGCTGGTCATCAAGCTTGGGGACCTCAGGCTCAACAGCGCCCTCTATGATTGGATCCTGAACTTCCTGACGGGCAGACGCCGGGCAGTGCGGGTGGGAAACATCACATCCTCCACCCTGATCCTCAACACCGGAGCCCCTCAGGGCTGTGCTCTCAGCCCCCTCCTCTACTCCATTCACAAACGACTGCGTGGCCAAACACAGCTGCAACATCATCACGAAGTTTACTGACGACACGACCGTCATTTGCCTGATCACCGACAGTGACGAGACGGCATACAGAGAAGAGATTGAAAACCTGACATCTTGGTGCCAGGATAAAAACCTCCCTCACAACGTCAGCAAAACCAAGGAGCTAATTGTGGATTACAGGAAACAACAGAGAGAGGGACACGCCCCCATCGCCATCAATGGCACTACGCTGGAGAGTCAGCAGTTTCAGGTTCCTCCGTGTCCACATCACTGAGGACCTGACATGGACTCATCACACTAACACCATCACCAAAACAGCTCGACGGCGGCTCTTGTGGATGTTCAACATGGACTCCAGGATACTCTGCAACTTCTACAGGTGCACGCAGAGGTTGCGCTAGACTTTTTCGCTGCCCGTCATTTTGGCTTACAACTAAAGACACAGCCACACAAAAACTGCGGCATGTGTACGGCTCCTTATGCCTACTGCAATTTTTGAAGTGCCGGAGCGGCGTTCTGGTGCTCTCCGTCAGCACTCATACTACACCCCTTTCAGACGAGACATATACCACGTGATGACACGTTAGGCTCGTGTTGTGTTAAGGAACCTGTCCTTGGGCAGGAAAAACATTCACTCGCTTGTTTAATTCTTTTGCGGTCTAGATTTCTTTAATCTTTTTGCGTGTGTTTATAAATTACCTCGAGGGCCGTATCAAATGTTCTCGTATACAGCCCGGAGGCCAGAGGTTCCCCATCCCTGCTTTAAAAACTGCTTTTCTGTAGCACTTCACAGTCAGACAACAGAAAATAACTTACTATCCCATGGACCAGTAATGGAGGGTTGTCCACATGTCTCTTTCACTGCAGAAATAGGCATATGCAGTGTTGCATTGAGAAAAAGAATAAAAAAACGTTTATGTTAAGACACTTATAAACTTAATGAAGATATCATGTTCACATTTCAATAACAGTAGAAACAAACATACTTGAAATGTTTTTTTTGTTTTTGTTTAAATATGCAGCATCTTACCATCTGAATCACCAGAGTTTCGTAAGTCAACTGAAATACAGAACATAACAAAATATATATTTTATATATTGTGTTTTTTTGTATTGTATTCTCATCAACATGTTAAAATAAAGTTCACTTTTATTATGTTTAGATTAATTTAATATTAATAGGTAAAAGAAAGATTATTTTTTCATATGGTGTAAGTAATAATGCCCACTGACCTTTTCGAATCTCACAGCTCCATACTGGTTCACACTGTGGTTTGCGTTTCCCTTTGTTAAGTTGAGAGAGTGTAAGGTGGAAGTAACTGTCTGGATTCTCAATGTACACTTCATAGAAGTTTGGCTCTTGGCTTTCATATCTGAGGGTTATTTTCTGTGTGAACAAAAGAAGAAAATAAATAAAAGATAGAGATAACAAAACCAGATGTGGGGGTCAATATTGCAATAAACAAAAGATTTCAGACTTTAAAAAAAAAGTGAATTAGTCGGATGGCCAACAGAAAACATTATAGTGGTTATTTCAAATGGAGAAGTCCTTATTGTTGAACTTAAGTTTGATGGTACTGTATGCATGCCGGTTTTTGACTAAGTCCATCATTTGATATGCCACTGGTAAATTACCAGCATCAATCTTCTCACATTCGCTCCCCTAGATTAACAGATGTTGGCTACTGAACCATAGCCAATTCTTCTGTCTGTATGGCATATCTTGTTATTATATCTTTATTAAACAAGGAACATGCATAACAATACATGAATTACAAAAAGGGAAGAGATGATGTATGGTAGAATGTACAGTAGCTATTAGCTAATTTCCATCTGTAGTCCCTGGGTAGGTAAATACATCAAAATCAACAAAAGAGCAGATCTATAAAATACAAATAACAGCATATTTTACACTCAGCTCAAAGCATATCCCAATGCCTGGTGGTTGTAAATGAAAGAGCTGATGGTGCAAAGGTAGTCCACCTCAGTGGGGTGTTTAAGACTAGTGGAAATGTTGAGGTTCTGAATATTTGTGTGTTCTTATGATATTCCCTTTAAACAGTAGCCATTTTGACGTCTCTTGCAAGGTTAACACAGGTATTATTTATCAAATAAATAACTGTCCGGTTTTAATTAGTGTCACATCCATTCTTGTCTAGTCAGCATTAACAATACCAGGAACCTGGCCCATCTACATGAACCATAATAAAACACAATTCACAATGAAAGATCAAATTGCTGACTGACAATGCAAACTGTACCTTTGGGCCAATCTGGGCCGTTGTTATGTCTGCTGTGAGGTTGAAATCTTGGTGCAGCGTCAGGCACTCGTTTGGGCGTGGCTTTTGGATCAATTTGAAGTCTTTTTTCTTCTTGTCCATGGTCTGAAAAAAAAAATTAATCAAAGCACAACCCTGGTTCAAGTTTACAGTTAGAAAAATCTGTGTTTTAAAATGCATTTGAAAATGAAAACATGAAACAATAAGGTTTTATCAACAGAGTATTAGGGTCAGTATCTAGAAAAATAAATGTTTATTTTAGATTTTGTTATTTCAGAATGGCCACTGAGGAAAAGGTCATACCTTCGAGAAAAAATGTCTTTAACGTTTTGAGAGTAACGAAATAAGTGAGATCAAACCAAGCTGCAGCGTCATCGACATTTACCACCGAATAGGTCTGAGGCACGTCTGTGATTGTATTAAACATTTATAGCAACATGTGAAACAGTTTAAATTGGCTTAAATGCTTTGCTGTTTGAAGCAGCTCTCCATGGAGCAGAACTTCCCCTCGAGTGATAATCTAAAAAACTAAATGATATCTCGCTTGATAAGTATTATCAGGGAACACGTTATAACACAATGATAAGTATAAGGTTATATGTCAACCATGTATCGATCATTGAGAGTCATTTTGCAAATATAGCTTCTAGCTTTGGGCAGAGCTAGCTCTGTTTGTAGGGACTTGGCGACCAGAGGGTTGCAGGTTCAAGTCCCTGAACGGATCAAGTGAAGAGTGGGGACTGATACTTGTGAGGTGGCAGTTGGTCTCCTGGTCATGCTGAGGTAACCTTGAGCAAGGCACCAGAGCCCCACACTGGGCACTGTAATATAGCAGTCAACTGCTTCTTGTTTAAGGATGGGTTAAAGGCAGAGACTAGAATTCACTGTGTGCGGTGCTGTGTTCATGTTTGACGATTGGAAGTTGATTGTATTCAAATCTCCATTTCCATAACATACAATAGGACAATTTTCAGATAATATTTCCTTCATATGTTTTCCCTCACTTATGACTTTACTCTTATAACAGGACTACTTTAAGAATTAAAGATGTTATTTTCACAATTCAGCCCAAATACTCCATTGTAGGTTTTGATTTCATTTTGAATGTGTGACAGTAAGAGATTCAGTAACCTCTTCAAGAGCAGGATCGAGCGGGGTCAGGTAAACATGAAGAAGGATGCAGGATGTGTCGAGTTTAGAATAAATCAAAACGTTACAGTGTATTTTTACTGGAAAGCCCATTTTCATCAGGACGGCTCTTGGAGAGAAAACTGGTTCAGACAGCTTGACATGGGACGATGTGACTTCAGACACTTTTTCCACAACATCTCCACAGTCATCTATGTGCAGGACTGCAAACTTTTGCAATATTTTAGGGATGTCATCTGCATAGTACAAAGCATAAACAATTAATGTGAATAAAAAACAATTGCAATGATTATTTTGTTATTTTCCTCCATGATCACTTACCTATGCAGATCCAGTGTGGCAGGTACACTTCAAATAACTTCCCAGAAATCACTGTGATGTCTATCAGGGGACCTGCAGGCATGTATTTCATCATCTCCATCCTCTTCATGGGTTCCTCCGAAGAGCAAAACTTGTACTTAAAGCTGACCTTTTCCTGACAGACCCAGCGCAAGCCAGAGACACTGCATTCAAAGTTTCCCGCTTCAGACTTTAGGCTAAAATATAATGAAAAAAATACAGATTTTGTATTTGGTACAAAAGGTAGCATTAATACTATTGGGGAAATATTTGTAGCAGATCTTAGTGTTCTCTCTGTGAAGAAATCCCAAGACCGAAGCTTCAGTGTTTACTATATTTCCAGTTTGATAATATGCAGTATTTAGGAAATGATTTGTACCTGTAAGTTGATGCCTCATCTTCATCTGTACTGTTCACCTCAGGTTCAAGTTTAGTCCAGCCACTGGAGTCCTTGTTTTAAGTCAAATGTTTTAAGTCAAAGACACACTAACATCTGTTATATTAAATATGTTTATATTTTTTCTTGACAAATGCACATTTGTATATGAGTGTTCAGACTTCAGTCTGCTAATCTGATCAGAACATCAGTGGAAGAAAAATCATTTTGACAGTAGAGATCAACCTTAAAACGGTTTCGGTTTGCATCATAATGTTTATGTTCAAGATGGATATGGTTAACAACTTGCATCTATTGAATGAAAGCTGTGATGTGTAAAGTCAGACTCACTTCCTCGGACTGTGCAGGTCGATGTTCATCCACAGAGTACATCTCTGAAGAGAGAAAATGAATGTCTAACAGAAAAAATGACACACGACTGATTCAAAATCAGACTATGGACAACTTTAGTCAGATTGAGTTACTTTTGAACAAAAATACGTAATATGAATGAAACTGCAAAATAACACTCAAATATGGTTCATGCTGGCATCATTCAAATCAATCACAAAGAGTGAGAGGTTTGATATTATATTATTAACACCAGTGGCGGCCGGTGGTCTTTTTTTTTGGTGGGGCTCTTGACGTACCGTAAGTGACCTACCCGGGGGGTCCGGGGGGTTTTCCCCCGGAAACTTTTTTCGAGAAATGACCCCTTAAATGATGACTTCTGGTGATGTTAGAGGGGGGGGGGGGAAAGGAGAAATCGAGGCTTAAAAATATGAGAAGACTGATCAATACCTCCATAATCTTCAGTGTGGAAAATATTATTTATCAACCTGAACATCTACTACTTTACCAGGAATTTGTGTTCTCCGAACTGGTCTGTTTTTTTCTTTCTTAAAACTGTTCATGTTTTATGAACCAACACCTTCACCAAGTAGCTTTACAGTGAACTGCATGTGAGATATAAAATTAATAGCATCTTTTCAGTAGCATTAATTATAAATATTTAAGTGGTTCAATACAAGTCACTACAGCATTTCAAACTGAACTGTGAATAAATGCAATTTAAAAAAAAATAACCACAGCACAAAATGTCATAAATTGTGTTTTTTCTTTGTTTCTCTGAGGATTATTTACAAACAGGCTTATTTACATATAGCAATAACTCAGAAATGAAAAAGCTACATCGTCTAACACGAACAACCACTTAGCATAATGATAATATATGTGTTATGTACAATGTAACTGGCAAGGCTAGAGCAAGAAAGAACATAAAGTTTGCAAAAGGTTTAAATAACTTCAAGTATCTGTCTTCAGATTACGTGGAGGTTTTAGTCCGATGGGAAGCAGATTTTAAGCGACACCGAAGATAAACCAAAAATGTGGTGGAGCTGCAAACCGTGTAGTGTTGCTGGGACAGAACAGGAGCTATAACCGTTGGAAAATACATCACAGACAATGCAACAAACGTGGAGACAGAACAATCACTTCTGTGATAAATGCCCACTTATTAATAAACTTCTAACAACCATGGGAAACCTCCTCTCTACATATAAAGTGATATCCAAGCATGGGAAACAAAAGACAGCATTTACCTGTTTGCATCCAGCTAGCCAAGCCTTTCTTGTGTACCAGCTACTTGTGAAGCCTCGTGTATAAATGTTGTCTTTTTCACGAGATTGCTGCGATATATTCAAATCGGGTTGGTCCGGTGCAAGGTCTTTAAGCAACAATTTATCTGCCAAACTTCTCCTTTCGAAAGGATTGGAGATTAGCTCTTGAACAGAATTAGCCGGGGACCGAGGTCCGGAGACTCCACCTGCACACGAAGCCATCCTCATCAACTACTGCGTCAACCGGATACGAGTCACTGTCCAAACTACTCACAGACTGCACTGGGCGCTGACATTGGCGCCCGGTGACCGTCATCTTTGACGACGCTGATTGGCTGAAATTATATTTTCGCGGCATAGTTTACACGTTACAGATAGCAACAGTCAGCTGCTGGTGGCTGCTGCTGCACTGGTTGAAGGCTCCTCTCTTAGCGCCCAGACGAGAGAAGGTGCATGGGCAAGGCCAGGCAGGAAACATGTGACTTATCAGTAACTTTAGACATCGTAACACAATTTTAAACGAGATTTTATTGTAGATTATACATTTTACTGATACCAATTATATAATATTTACCTTGTTCATTAAAAATAAAAATAAAAACATATATATGTTTTTAAACATATTTTTTTTTTTAATTTTAATTTTAATTATTATTATTATTTTTTTTTTTCAATATGGGAAGAGGTGGGGCGGCGCCCCTAGCGCCCCTATGGACCGGCCGCCACTGATTAACACCCATTAAAGGAAGACTACACCCACAAAATGACCTTTAAATAGAAATGACTCCTGCCTTGTTACCTTTAATTCTTCAAGAAACAAAACAGACAAAAATATTTATTAATAGGGAGCGTTGTTTAACAACAGACAAACTTTATTAACTGTATAACTAAAACTATATAAAACATCTATTTACAAACTGTCACACAACTCATGCAGTAGAATCCAAGTCTCATTTATCCTGGCACGAGCTCACTACTTCCTTAAAACATGCATTTTCACTAAACCTTCCTGTTTTATACATTTCAAGGCACAGACGGGTACTCCACGTGCAAGTATGAGACTGTTGATGCAGAAGTGTTTTAGAGGTTAGGTTGTTTTGATAAAGTTGAACTGTTATTAAACACGCCCCCATTTACTTCAATTCATAAAGACTTTCTCCATTGTTTGATTTGTTACTCACAGCGGAGGCATGCAAGAAAACAGATGTCTTCAAGAATTACAGAGAACTCAGGGTGAGTAATTGTAATACGGAACAACTGGTTATTTTGTAGGTGAACTATTCCTTAAAATCTAAAAAACTCAAATACAAAAGCATTGCAACAATTACAAAACTCATGACTATGAACTCTTCTGTGTGATGCAGCAGTTTTAGTTTTCTTTCTCTTACCTTTGAGTCTTAAGATAGTCTCTGATAATCTCTCCACTAGATCAGTTCTGTTCATGTCCATTAAAACCTCCCTGGTCACCTCCACAGACTGCGGACCACAGGTATCCACCATCTGATCCACCAGCTGGAGTGCACTTGCTGTCCAATAGGGATATCCATGAAAGGAGGATATGCTCTTCTGGAAGAATGTGAACTGCAGCAACCACTGAAATCTGTGGAGCTCATCGTCACTCAAATCCTTCAGAGTTTTCAAAAGGATCTCTTTCTCTGCTGCAATTGGTGCCTGAACAAATAAACAGATGTGTAAGAAAAGGTGTTATTTCTCTATGGAAATGAATATTACTTTGTTTTCATTTCATCAGTCAGTGTTTCAGACAAGAGAATTTTATAAAATGTTTACAAGATCTCTCAAGTCAAAGACACACTAACATCTTTTATATTAAATATGTTTATCTTTTTTCTTGACAAATGCACATTTGTATATGAGTGTTCAGACTTCAGTCTGCTAATCTGATCAGAACATCAGTGGAAGAAAAATCATTTTGACAGAAGAGATCAACCTTAAAAACGGTTTGGTTTGCATCATAATGTTTAAGTTCAAGATGGATATGGTTAACAACTTGCATCTATAGAATGAAAGCTGTGATGTGTAAAGTCAGACTCACTCCCTCGGACTGTGCAGGTCGATGTTCATCCACAGAGTACATCTCTGAAGAGAGAAAATAAAGTGAATGTCTAACACACAAGATCCCAGCAACTAAACTAAACTACTTCAACGTAAAACGTTTCTTGTTGAGACTCTGGTCTGTTGGTATTTTAATATTTTAATATTTGTCTAATGTTTGTATAGATTCCTGTTCGATGTTTTTTTTATACTTCACATTGATGTGAAGTTATTTGGTTTTCTTTATGATTACCTTTGAGTTCTGAGCTGGGCTTTGTCAACCTCTGCCTCAGATCAGTCCTGTTAATGTCCTTCAAAACCTCCATGGTTATCTCTACACACTGTTGGCCGAAGATCTCCATCATCTGTTTCACTGTTTGTGCTCTGTCTGGTGAGGAACTCCAAATCCATGAAAAATATCTCTGCTTCTTCTTGGAGACAATTAAATCTAGGGTCTGCTTGAATTTCTCTAGATCCTCGTTTCTCAAATCATTCAGAGTTTCCAAAAGCAGATGTTTAACAGCTGCCATTGTTGCTACCTGAAATAATCAATACATTCATTAGACATGTGTATATTCCTCTTGGACAATTACAAATGTGTCTATTTGCTATAAACTGGTTAGTTGTTGTTGGGTTTGACAGACAGACAGACAGACAGACAGACAAGACAGACAGACAGACAGACAGACAGACAGACAGACAGACAGACATACAGACAGACAGACAGACAGACAGACAGACAGACAGACAGACAGACAGACAGACACAGACAGACAGACAGACAGACAGACAGACAGACAGACAGACAGACAGACAGACAGACAGACAGACAGACAGACAGATCATCATAGATAAGTCAATCATGTGTTTGGGTCATATCATTATCTGTTGAAGGAAAGGTGTGTTGTAGAAAGTCAGACAGATGTGACATTACTTACTTTCTGGATCACTGCAGGTCGCTGTGCCTCTGAGTGTTTCTCTGAAGAGAAAAGAGGTGGAGATAAACCAACTCAATTCATTTTACCCTCTCCCAAAATAATAATCATTGCTCTGATAAGTCATGAAACATATTTTGTTCACTAGGATATAAATACATTATAAATATACGTTTCATCTATATTTATAATTAAAAAGAAGAATACAGAGCTTATTAACTTAGGATAAACAGGTTTGATGATTTAAAGATGTTTGTGTTTTATTAGTCTTACTTTTGGGTCCTGAGCTGCTTTGTGACAGCCTCTGCACCAGATCAGTCCTGTTCATCTTCTCAAAAGCCTCAGTGGTCATCTCCAGCAGTCTGTGATCGCTGTGATCTTGCACCAAATAAAACACCATGTCCTGCCTGTCACTCATCATGAGCCGCCTTGGTGAGATGTGTGGGTTGCCTTTGTCGGAGAGAATTTGACTCAGGACCCTCTTAAAACTCTCTAAATTCTGGTCACTCAAATCTTTCAGTGTTTCCAGAAGCAGCTCTATGACAGACGCCGTTGTTTCCACCTGGTAAAATCAAAGGAGATGTTAATGGGGCAAAAGAGCAATTTCTCAGCTGGAATGATTACAGATTATTTTTTGTTTACAACTCGTCAGTTTCAGTGTTTTACAAGAGTGGATGTGGTAAGAGAACATCAGCCATGTCACGCACAACGTATCAGTACACTTTATATTGTTCATCCAATTCATCACAAAACCATTTTCTTTTGTATAAATTGGGTGTTTGAATCATGACTTTATTTGACCTCCTAGGTAACTCTTTCAAAGGCTGTGGTAGAAAAACTGCGATAAGCCTCTTGATTTTACAACAGAGTGGCTGTTTAACCAGTTTCATCTTTTTTTTTGTATTTGAACAAATACTATATAGATAACGTTAATGGCTAAGAACGTATGTGTACCTAATTTGGCATGATCAGATTATTTCTTAAAGAAAACTATCTGGGACAAAAAAATGAAGTTCAGGATGAAGATTATTAACAGTCTTCTTAATCTACTGAGTCAAAACTGCACTGTGTGAAATTGATGGGACATTACTCACACTCTGGATCAGAGAAGGAAGCGGTTCCTCTGAGGATTAAAAAAAAAAGGAAAAGGCCCATTTCATTTATTTCATCCCAATGTGACACCTCCTCAACAGTGACAATATAATTATTTATATATCCACTTAAAGATATTCTAACACTGTTCAATGGCTTAAAATACATTTGGTATCGGAATATAGATAAACGATATTTTTAAGAAATAGAAATGTATATTTTCACATATTTCTGTCTGTTTTCTCTTACCTTTGGTTCCTGAGCTGATGTCTGACAATCTCTGCACCAGATCAGTCCTGTTCATCTTCTTTAAAACTGTTTTGGTCATATTCACACACTTTCCGCTGAACGTCTTCACCATCAGATCCACTGTTTCATCTGTGTTTGCCACTTTGAGTCGACCCCTTAGGATCAGTGGGAAACTTTCCTCTAATTCAATGAGTGACTTGAATTGGTTAAGCTCATCTGAACTCAAACCATTCAATGATTCAAGAAGTATCTTCTGAGCCATCATGCTTTCTACCTGTAAAGATTAAAGGAGATATTTTAGAGTGTATGCAGGATAGGATGTTGGTTATGTGTGTGATTCACATCCAAGATTGGAGACTGATTTTCTGCATTTCATTTATTATTTATATCACCAAGATTAACTTTTAGATTGTATATTCAAAACTCGATTTACTGTATAGCGGTTGTATGCCTCCACAAAAGTGTCAGTTTACATCCATAGCGGTCCAAAATGTCATATCTGTATCATTAATCATTTTAATCCCATGGCATTTTTCCACCAAATTCAAAATCAGTTTATTTTTGTACTCAAGTGGATGTTTGTCCCAAATCTAAATAAATAGTTGTTTGGTTAAGGAAAACCCATTCTTCCACACAGGGGCCAATGGGTCAGTAGATTATTTGAAATGTTGTCAATCATTTTAAATCATGATTGAAAATATCAGGTTACAGAATATTGTTTCTCAATGAAGGATTTCCTCGTCGATTTCAGAAACATTTGCCAGATCAAGGTGAGTTAAGAAAACTAATGTTGTTTTAAATGTTTGGCTTAGAGTGCATTCATTAATATTTTACTCTCTATTTGATACACCTATTGCATCTCAAAGGCAGTGATTATATGAGCAGCATAACATATGATATCCAAACTTTCATTACAATCCTTTTCAAAACTAAATATTTACTCACCTCCATGTCTTTCTTATTCTTCTTATATTTCTCAGACTCATCAGCAAGGTCATCGAGGAGATCTGACTCATGTTTTCTCAGCAGTTTGTAAAATATCTCTTTTCCTCCAGGTCCACAGACTCTCAAAGGCCCTCTTAGGAGAGCCCTCATCTTCTCCTGAGGGCCATGGAGGGATAGGATTTCCTCATAATGTTCTCTATTGATAACTTTATATGAGAGCAGTCCATCCAGAATTGGTCCAATGTTTTTTACTCTCTGGACTAGTGCTAATCGATGTTTATCCACAAATAGCTCTGAGGAAAGAAAAGGCAAAGTGGTGGTTAGCGATAATATGCATCAGGATATATTTAATAAAAATTAGTAAAACCTCAAATTCATCTAATATTACAAAACCGGAAAATTACCTTTTACTCTGAATGAATTACTTCTAAGAAACTGAGGAGCACATCTCTGGTAAATACAAGTTTAATGTGGTGATTCTGCATGATTCTTTGTGAGGAAAATTAAGTTTTATAGATCCGTGGTCCGGTAAAAACAACCCAATAACCAAACTAACTGATTAGTCGACAATATGCTATTGTGTAAGTCGAGTGAAGAATTTCCTAAATGATGAAACAGAAGGAAATACGTTTTCCAGTCAGATTCTACTATTAAACTCGGCTTGTTGTAGCCAACCTTAACTCAAACTAAGAGTCTGTGTACATACTGTAATACCTGTGCACCTACCTTCCTCCATTGTGTTTAGATCAGGTGCTGCCGAGGATCAAGGAGCTGTTAAAAAATGTATTGTTGTTAGACTTTACACATACCTCTGATGTCTCCTATTGGCTACATTTAGGAAAGAGAAACAAAATGCTCTCTTTCTTTAACGGTCCCCACACTAAGAAATTAACCATTAAAAATAGCTTAGGCTACACTACATATTGTGAGGCTCGGTTAAATGACAACTCCAAATGTTCAGCTCAAGAAAAAAAGTACTATGAATACATGTGTGAACCAGAAACAGACAATAAAGTCATTGAAACAAAAAAAAGAAGCTACAAGTAAAGTGAAAGGCTCATTAAGAACTTCTCATGCACAGCTTTGAGCCATCATGAAAGGTTAAAATCAGTTTGTGGTAGCTTAACGAACAATGTTGAGCTAATTCAGTCCAAATCTAAAGAGGCTCAATTTCCAGTGATATACAACTATTTAGGAAATCATTTGAGAAGCTGACACAACAGATTGTTTGCCATTTTGTTATTTAAAAATGGCTCAAACAAGTAGCCTACTAATTCTCTTTTTTAATCCATGTATTTATAGGTTAAAAGCTTTACAGCCCAGGAAAGGGTCATTTCCACGCAGCACAAACTCCACAATACTAAAAGTAGCCTTTTTGTCATTTTCTAACACATGAAACCTGCCATAACAGTTTCAGACACTATTTTGTAAAACTAGACGTCAGGAAACGGAACCCTAATAAAACAGAAGCGTAAGAGATGTGTCAGTGAGACAGTTATTAAGTGAATGTGTTGTGACTGAATAGTATAACCAACATGTCCATTTTACATGTCATTAGTGCAAAGAAAACGCAGAAAGGTTCAAGTGAAAGCAAAAAGTTGGAATTTAAATCCTTCCATTAATGTTCAATAACTGCGGGACACGAGCTGGCCGTGATCTGTCTCGTGAACGTTAAACCTGTTCGTGCTGCACGTAGAGATAAAACTCACCGGATGTTTCTCTCTTTCTCCCTCAGTCTGCTTTCTACAGGTTTTCAATATCTTTCAGTATCTTTAAACTTTATGAAAACAGAGACAACGTTTAAATCCCACCACATTTCTACCCCTCGTTCAGTTTGCAGAAGAGGAAGTTAAACGTGTGTGTCCTTTTCTCTGAAGTCACGTGGTTCTCTTATCTCTTTACTGCTCAAACCACCGCCCTAACAATAAAAATGATATTAAATTATGAGGGATGAAAAAACATTCTGCCATACATTCTTAAAGATATTGATACTGTAGGAATCAGTACTAGTTAGACTACTCCCACAAGTGCTATGAAGAACCATTACTGTGTATCTTGTGAGTACTCCTCTGACAAAATTAAAACAATAGAAAACAATTACACAGACTCACAATATTTATCATACTCAACATGAAGTTTAAAACAGGCAGAGTTGTCTTTCATGCCCAAGCCGTGAACTCCAATATTAAAGAAGAGCTATTGTGGACTGAATTTAACCAGCACATATATAATATGCACTTTATATAGAGCACTTTTAAAAACAAAGTTACATGTGCTTTACATAGACAAAGCTTAATAAAAAGCCCAACCATAATATAAATAAAACAAATAACAGAAATAATAGAGCAGATAGGACATATTGGAAATAAAATGGTATATAAAACAAAAATAAAAAGCTGTTTTAAACAGATACATTCTTACTAGTATTTTAAAGAATGTCACTGACTCTGCCAGACTCAGTCGTCACACAGACATTACATAGCTGCACTTTTGCTTATATAACATCTGGGGGTGCAGTGGTGAGGCTGGAGGGACGGGTTCGACTGGAGTGTAATACAGCATCACTTCAGAGGGGAACAACACACTTTAAAATGAATCCTTAAAAAGCATTTCATGACCTAGATCTTGGAGTCATACTGGACTCGAACTTGACTTTTAAGAAACATATTAAGAAAGTATCCAATACCGTTCAATTCAACTTGCAACATTTTAAACAAATGAGACCTTTCTTAACTGTCAATGCTGCAAAGTCATACCTCCACTGTATGATTCTATCCCACATTGAATACTGTTTTACAAACTGGTCGTTTGCTTGTGCCACAAACCTGAAACCCATAGAACAGCTGTACAAGAGAGCTATCAAGGTGTTTGACAGAAAGCCAAATTCATGCCACCACTGTACCATCCTTGAAAAACACAATTTCTTGAGTTTTGACAATTTAAAGTCATTTAAAAGTATGTGTTTTTTTTATAAATGTTTACATGGACTGGCCCCCCCTCCCTTAGGGGAATTCATCCACAAAACACACTGGACGCTGCACTAGGTCAGAAACCAGAGGAGACTGTGAAGTCCACCGTAGACGGACCACTTTTGGACAAAATGTCCTCTCCGTTAAAGGCAGCTCATTCTGGAATAGCTTCCCAACTGAGATACGGGATTGTCCCACTCTCAATAGCTTTAAAGGTCAACTCTAAGAATGGTTGAGAAACAAACAGACGTGCAATCACCGCTAAATGCACTTTAACACAGGGGTATCTCCTCTTGCACTTTATCTAGCACTTTTATCTTCTCTTGCACTTTATATGTCGTAGCTGCTATATTGTATTACCATGTGATAAATACTTGTGTATGCTGCTCTTGCTCTTTTGCACTTTTTGCATATCATGTATTTTGTTTTTGCTATGTTTGTAAAATGTAATGTTCTTAAATGTTTTATGTGAGGGACTGCGGATGGAAATTAGCTCAAAGCTAAATCTGGCACTGTTACGCTTGACACATTTGAATGTTTTAAGTGTTCATTACTGTGCATTGTCCCTGCCAAATAAATGATTAAATAAAAAAATTAAATAAAACATCCCACACATTAATTTACAACTGAAATGAGAAAATCAAACATATTACAAACACATAACATTTCCAAATGTGTAGTATTGAACTCCAACAGGCATTATCTATCAGACAGCTCCCTCTAGAGCCACATAAGGCTTTGTATAACTTGTTTTACTCATGCGGCAGCTACTTTACAAGACTCCTAAACAGACTGGATATCTAAACATTGCTGCAGTTCCCCTTTAAATGTATAAACTGTACTTTCATCACCAAGTAAAGTCATGCCTCGCTTCATCCAAACATACAAGAAGGTAAGGCTAAACAATTAGTTCATACACATTGAGGTTGGTTAATAAAGCAACGTTTGTGGATAACGTCAAAAGAATACTACCTTCTTCCAGTACCCCTCTGAACAATCAGTTTAATAAATGATAATAATATGTTCACATTTTTTTAATTCTAGGAGGAAAGCGACGTTCCTAAATCTGTTAACTTTATTACATCATTATGTCTGCTTCAACTTTTAAAACACTCTATTCACTCGACATGTGTAATATTTATAAGACTTTATTGAAAATGTATTTCGAAATAAAAAACATTGGCCTCCAAAAGTAAACGTATTTTCACGAGGGAAAAAACAACAACAGAATCGTTTAGCACATAAGACAATAATCAAAATTAAAATCTGCATACAAAACCTAAGGATAATCATTCATGATCAAGCATCCTTTAATTTATAAAAAATAGGTTAAGTCCATCTGGGATTTGCTGGATTAAAACATTACATGTCAGGTGAGAACGCTAAATCATTTCTTACATCTTTACATTACATGAATGACTTACATGGTTTGCTGAATCTGGTTTTAACCTTACAGGAAAACGTATACATTTTATAAAATATGACTGGTCCAAGTGCAAAAAAAAAGGGCAAGAGCTATGATTAAACATGAAGGTGCAAAAGCTATATTTGATAGAACCCCATACAGAGACATTTACATGACTATTTCCCCATTGTAATCGTTTTAGACATTTTCTTTCTTGAGGCACAATGTACGTTTAGTCTAAAAAATGATTTCTCCACAACATTCACTTATTTCCCTTTAGCTCATCAATGAGATATTTCTCCTCTTTCTCAAGAATTCTGTAGAAGACTTCTTTGCCACGAGGCCCTGCTGCATTCAGGGGACCACGGAAGAGTTCCCTCATCTTCTGCTGAGTGGTCCGGATTTCCAGGATTTCACTATAAATCGATGGTGTGATGACTTTTTCCTCAAGGAGCCGATCCAAAATGTCTGCAACGCAGTTCACTCTCTTGGTCAGCTCGATTCTATGTTTATCCACAAAGTGCTCACCTGAGGAAGGAGGGAATAATGAGTACATTTTTGATGATACCATGAAGCCAACTTGATACATTTCCAAACAAATATTTTATTTTCTATAACAGTGACTTCTTTATTTTAAATACAGTGGAGGAAATAAGTATTTGATCCCTTGCAGATTTTGTAAGTTTGCCCACTTACAAAAAAATTAACAGTCTATAATTTTATTGGTAGGTTTATTTTAACAGTGTAAGTAAGAATATCAAAAAGAAAATCCAGAAATTGACATTATATTAAAGATAAAAATTGATTTGCATTTAACTGTAGGAAATAAGTATTTGATCCCCTTGCAACAAACAAGAATTCTGGCTCCCACAGACCGAAGTACACAGAAGTCCTCTTCCTTTAAAAAAGTACTCATATCAACTTATTAACTGTATAAAAGACACCTCTCCACAGAATCAATCAATCATATTCCAACCTCTCCACCATGGGCAAGACTAAAGCGCTGTCTAAGGACCTCAGGGACAAGTTTGTAGACCTGCTCAAGGCTGGGATTGGCTACAAGACCATCAGAAAGCAGCTTGGTGAGAAAGAGACCACTGTTGGTGCGATTATACGGAAATGGAAGAAACACAAAATGACCATCAATCACCCTCGGTCTGGGACTCCACACAAGATCTGGCCCGTGGGGTATTGATGATCATGAGAAAGGTGAGGTATCAGCCAAGAACTAAAGGGGAAGAACTTGTTAATGATCTCAAGGCAGCTGGGACCACAGTCACCAAGAAAACTATTGGTAACACACTGCACCATAATACAGAAAATCCTGCAGCGCCTGCAAGGTCCCCTACTCAAGAAGGCACATGAAAGGCCCCTCTGAAGTTTGCCAATGGACATCTGAATGATTCAGAGAAATGTCTGATCCACTGGGATCACAAACCAAAATCAAGTGTGCACCCACCGTCTACCATGGTGTATTGAGCTGTCTCTCCAGCTGAGGGTCCCACAGCTGAAACAAATTGAGGGAAAATAACAATTGCTTAATTACGGACAGGTTTAGTCTTTATGCTTTTTTTTTCATGCACACAGCAACATAGCAAAATACGGTCATTCAATGTGTCAATGATACATGCACTGTCATTGGTTGCCAGTTTAATATAATAATACCCTGCTATATCTCTCCAATGTCTTTTGTGTAGGGCTTTTAAGTTTTTGTGGACTAATGACTTTTCGCTCTGGTGGAAAATAATTGTATCCTTTTCAAGTCTTCTATTTTATAATAGCAAGAAAACCTAATGTAGATGAACAACTCACTGTCCCTTAATTCATTTTCTGAGGACGGTCCACCCGTAGCTTCCACTGCAAAAATAGACAGATATGGTTATCAAGAAATATGACGGATGACAATTTGACATACACGTTTAATGTAGGACACATTAACACTGCATGCTGTGATTGGCTGTTTAAACTGGGAGCTTGATTTGCATGTCTAAACATTAAAATTGCACACAAGGGGATTATGATACGCTAATTAAAACATGTTAAAGGCAATGTATGATAATTAATTTTTTCGGTTTTGTAATTCCTCTCTTCAGTCGGATAATCTCCACATGTGTACCCTACTTTTATAATTTTCTAATCATAAATCTATCGATCATGAATCTATCGATTAGATTTATGATTCAAAAATTATAAAAGTAGGGTACACATGTGGAGATTATCCGACTGAACAAAACGTGATCCGTCTCTTAAATGTGTGTCAACCACAGACCTTATTTCGAGCTATTTTCCAAAATCCTATGGAGAAATTGCATTGCTTTTTTGTCGAGGGAACCAGAAGAAGCTTAGTCCGGCTTTTAGGACGCGTCACTGCACCACTCTATAACTTCATAATTAACTACATCTGAAAGCAGAAGTCTAGGGCTGCGTTTCACTTCTCTTATTTTTCATTTCCTCGCTCCTCGGTCTCGGTCTCACCGGAAGTTGATTTGTCTGCGCCATCTTGAGTAGCGTCCCAATGGCCTTATTTTTGCCGGAGGACCGAGGAACGAGGAGCGATAATGGAGGAGCTATAATCGAGGAACCACCAGACCATCCTTCGATGAAATCCTCAGACACTCGCCCCGCCCCCTTACTGTGTATCGCTCACTGATTGGACGATGCAGCGCATGCACTGATCTGATGCTTCTTGACATGAGAGCAGTTTCCCAGCGGAGTGAACAAAACACATGAAACTCACGGGACTCACTCCTCAGTTTATACCGTGTTTTGTTTCAATTAATGTTTCATTTAGTTACAAATATGTGATATATCTGAACAACAAAGTGGTCAAAAATCATTTCATTCATTTATTGGAAACATTTTCGTGATCGCTTTTTTCGTTTTACATTTTCATTTATTGTCATTTCCATTCAGTCAGTCATTAAGTGCTATTTAACATGTTCATTTGCTACATATCCACACAAACAAACTAAGTGTGCAATCCAATGAATGTTAATCTAACTGGGTTTTGATAGATAACATATCTCTTTTTCTTCTCTGAATTATTTTATTTCTATTGTGCACACTAATCAATATTAATCAAACTAATGTTCGTTTATACATTTTAAGAATGGCGTTTATCTTTTTTGAGAATGAGTTCTTATTTGATTTTATTTATTTGGGTCTACAACAGATGATACAAATGTTTGTGTCAGTAAATGTGTACTAACAGAGGCGGGGGTGTTTGTGAAAATAACGGGGACAGAGTTGCTGTCAGACGATCAGCTGTGCAGCGTCATCACAAACGGACGTCGCTTCACATGACGCTCCGGAGGAAAGGACGTCCCATTGCTCTTAAAACTCATTTCCCTGCTTCTCGTGGTTTCCTTGCGTCTCTCCATGCTTCCCTGGTGGGAGGGACTAAACGCAGGGAAACGACGCAAGTGAGGGACGCAAGGATTCCATTTAACCGAAGTGAAACGCAGCCTAAGGCAAATAATTGCAAGTCTCTTCAGTGTGCATGTCACAAAACGAGATGCATTGTGGGACATGTAGTTTATCGGTAACGTGCTTCTGTAAAGCGGCATGTAGATTCAAGATTCAATTCAAGATTCCATGTAACCGTATAATAAACATATTATATTCTTTGCAAGCACTTGCAGGCCACATAAAATGAGGTTGTGGGCCGGATTTGGCCCGCAGGCCTTGAGTTTGACACCCACCGTCTACCATGGTGTATTGAGCTGTCTCTCCAGCTGAGGATCCCACAGCTGAAACAAATTGAGGGAAAATTACAATTGCTTAATTATGGACAGGTTTAGTCTTTATGCTTTTTTTTTCATGCACACAGCAACATAGCAAAATACGGTCATTCAATGTGTCAATGATACATGCACTGTCATTGGTTGCCAGTTTAATATAATAATACCCTGCTATATCTCTCCAATGTCTTTTGTGTAGGGCTTTTAAGTTTTTGTGGACTAATGACTTTTCGCTCTGGTGGAAAATAATTGTATCCTTTTCAAGTCTTCTATTTTATAATAGCAAGAAAACCTAATGTAGATGAACAACTCACTGTCCCTTAATTCATTTTCTGAGGACGGTCCACCCGTAGCTTCCACTGCAAAAATAGACAGATATGGTTATCAAGAAATATGACGGATGACAATTTGACATACACGTTTAATGTAGGACACATTAACACTGCATGCTGTGATTGGCTGTTTAAACTGGGAGCTTGATTTGCATGTCTAAACATTAAAATTGCACACAAGGGGATTATGATACGCTAATTAAAACATGTTAAAGGCAATGTATGATAATTAATTTTTTCGGTTTTGTAATTCCTCTCTTCAGTCGGATAATCTCCACATGTCTACCCTATTTTTATAATTTTCGAATCATAAATCTATCGATCATGAATCTATCGATTAGATTTATGATTCAAAAATGATAAAAGTAGGGTACACATGTGGAGATTATCCGACTGAACAAAACGTGATCCGTCTCTTAAATGTGTGTCAACCACAGACCTTATTTCGAGCTATTTTCCAAAATCCTATGGAGAAATTGCATTGCTTTTTTGTCGAGGGAACCAGAAGAAGCTTACTTCTGGGTTTTAGGATGCGTCACTGCACCACTCTATAACTTCATAATTAACTACATCTGAAAGCAGAAGTCTAGGGCAAATAATTGCAAGTCTCTTCAGTGTGCATGTCACAAAACGAGATGCATTGTGGGACATGTAGTTTATCGGTAACGTGCTTCTGTAAAGCGGCATGTAGATTCAAGATTCAATTCAAGATTCCATGTAACCGTATAATAAACATATTATATTCTTTGCAAGCACTTGCGGGCCACATAAAATGAGGTTGTGGGCCGGATTTGGCCCGCAGGCCTTGAGCTTGACACCCACCGTCTACCATGGTGTATTGAGCTGTCTCTCCAGCTGAGGGTCCCACAGCTGAAACAAATTGAGGGAAAATTACAATTGCTTAATTATGGACAGGTTTAGTCTTTATGCTTTTTTTTTCATGCACACAGCAACATAGCAAAATACGGTCATTCAATGTGTCAATGATACATGCACTGTCATTGGTTGCCAGTTTAATATAATAATACCCTGCTATATCTCTCCAATGTCTTTTGTGTAGGGCTTTTAAGTTTTTGTGGACTAATGACTTTTCGCTCTGGTGGAAAATAATTGTATCCTTTTCAAGTCTTCTATTTTATAATAGCAAGAAAACCTAATGTAGATGAACAACTCACTGTCCCTTAATTCATTTTCTGAGGACGGTCCACCCGTAGCTTCCACTGCAAAAATAGACAGATATGGTTATCAAGAAATATGACGGATGACAATTTGACATACACGTTTAATGTAGGACACATTAACACTGCATGCTGTGATTGGCTGTTTAAACTGGGAGCTTGATTTGCATGTCTAAACATTAAAATTGCACACAAGGGGATTATGATACGCTAATTAAAACATGTTGAAGGCAATGTATGATAATTAATTTTTTCGGTTTTGTAATTCCTCTCTTCAGTCGGATAATCTCCACATGTCTACCCTACTTTTATAATTTTCGAATCATAAATCTATCGATCATGAATCTATCGATTAGATTTATGATTCAAAAATTATAAAAGTAGGGTACACATGTGGAGATTATCCGACTGAACAAAACGTGATCCTTCTCTTAAATGTGTGTCAATCACAGACCTTATTTCGAGCTATTTTCCAAAATCCTATGGAGAAATTGCATTGCTTTTTTGTCGAGGGAACCAGAAGAAGCTTACTTCTGGGTTTTAGGATGCGTCACTGCACCACTCTATAACTTCATAATTAACTACATCTGAAAGCAGAAGTCTAGGGCAAATAATTGCAAGTCTCTTCAGTGTGCATGTCACAAAACGAGATGCATTGTGGGACATGTAGTTTATCCGTAACGTGCTTCTGTAAAGCAGCATGTACAGTAGATTCAAGATTCAATTCAAGATTCCATGTAACCGTATAATAAACATATTATATTCTTTGCAAGCACTTGCGGGCCGCATAAAATGAGGTTGTGGGCCGGATTTGGCCCGCAGGCCTTGAGCTTGACACCCACCGTCTACCATGGTGTATTGAGCTGTCTCTCCAGCTGAGGGTCCCACAGCTGAAACAAATTGAGGGAAAATTACAATTGCTTAATTATGGACAGGTTTAGTCTTTATGCTTTTTTTTTCATGCACACAGCAACATAGCAAAATACGGTCATTCAATGTGTCAATGATACATGCACTGTCATTGGTTGCCAGTTTAATATAATAATACCCTGCTATATCTCTCCAATGTCTTTTGTGTAGGGCTTTTAAGTTTTTGTGGACTAATGACTTTTCGCTCTGGTGGAAAATAATTGTATCCTTTTCAAGTCTTCTATTTTATAATAGCAAGAAAACCTAATGTAGATGAACAACTCACTGTCCCTTAATTCATTTTCTGAGGACGGTCCACCCGTAGCTTCCACTGCAAAAATAGACAGATATGGTTATCAAGAAATATGACGGATGACAATTTGACATACACGTTTAATGTAGGACACATTAACACTGCATGCTGTGATTGGCTGTTTAAACTGGGAGCTTGATTTGCATGTCTAAACATTAAAATTGCACACAAGGGGATTATGATATGCTAATTAAAACATGTTAAAGGCAATGTATGATAATTAATTTTTTCGGTTTTGTAATTCCTCTCTTCAGTCGGATAATCTCCACATGTCTACCCTACTTTTATAATTTTCGAATCATAAATCTATCGATCATGAATCTATCGATTAGATTTATGATTCAAAAATTATAAAAGTAGGGTACACATGTGGAGATTATCCGACTGAACAAAACGTGATCCGTCTCTTAAATGTGTGTCAACCACAGACCTTATTTCGAGCTATTTTCCAAAATCCTATGGAGAAATTGCATTGCTTTTTTGTCGAGGGAACCAGAAGAAGCTTACTTCCGGGTTTTAGGACGCGTCACTGCACCACTCTATAACTTCATAATTAACTACGTCTGAAAGCAGAAGTCTAGGGCAAATAATTGCAAGTCTCTTCAGTGTGCATGTCACAAAACGAGATGCATTGTGGGACAGGTAGTTTATCGGTAACATGCTTCTGTAAAGCGGCATGTAGATTCAAGATTCAATTCAAGATTCCATGTAACCGTATAATAAACATATTATATTCTTTGCAAGCACTTGCGGGCCGCATAAAATTAGGTTGTGGGCCGGATTTGGCCCGCAGGCCTTGAGTTTGACACCCCTGCTCTAGCGGATTGCGTCAATTTCAGGAGCCAGTAAAGATTTATTGCTCTCCTTTTTGACACAGCAGACTTCTTACTTTCATTAATCATTATATTGATTAAACCGGGCTAATTTTAAGTAGAATCGCTGGCAGAGGTGTTCACAGACATCTTCAACAGGTCACTGCTGCAGTCTAGTCCCTGCATGTTTCAAACACTCCACCATTGTTCCTGTCCCCAAAAAGACAAAAACCACCAGCCTCAATGACTACCGCCCAGTAGCACTCACCTCCATCATCATGAAGTGCTTTGAGCGGTTAGTCAAAAACAATTCATCACCTCCTCCCTCCCTGACTCTCTGGACCCCCTGTAGTTTGCCTACAAAGCAAACAGGTCCACAGACGCTATCACCCTCACCATCCACACTGCCCTCTCCCATTTGGACCAGAGGAACACATATGTGAGAATGCTGTTCACTGACTATAGTTCAGCTTTCAACGCCATCGTGCCCTCCAAGCTGGTCATCAAGCTTGGGGACCTCAGGCTCAACAGCGCCCTCTGTGATTGGATCCTGAACTTCCTGACGGGCAGACGCCGGGCACTGCGGGTGGGAAACATCACATCCTCCACCCTGATCCTCAACACCCCACAGGGCTGTGTGCTCAGCCCCCTCCTCTACTCCGTTCACAAACGACTGCATGGCCAAACACAGCTGCAACATCATCACGAAGTTTACTGACGACACGACCGTCATTTGCCTGATCACCGACAGTGACGAGACGGCGTACAGAGAAGAGATTGAAAACCTGACATCTTGGTGCCAGGATAAAAACCTCCCTCTCAACGTCAGCAAAACCAAGGAGCTAATTGTGGATTACAGGAAACAACAGAGAGAGGGACACGCCCCCATCGCCATCAATGGCACTACGCTGGAGAGTCAGCAGTTTCAGGTTCCTCGGTGTCCACATCACTGAGGACCTGACATGGACTCATCACACTAACACCATCACCAAAACAGCTCGACGGCGGCTCTTGTGGATGTTCAACATGGACTCCAGGATACTCTGCAAATTCTACAGGTGCACGCAGAGGTTGCGCTAGACTTTTTCGCTGCCCGTCATTTTGGCTTACAACTAAAGACACAGCCACACAAAAACTGCGGCATGTGTACGGCTCCTTATGCCTACTGCAATTTTTGAAGTGCCGGAGCGGCGTTCTGGTGCTCTCCGTCAGCACTCATACTACACCCCTTTCAGAGGAGACATATACCACGTGATGACACGTTAGGCTCGTGTTGTGTTAAGGAACCTGTCCTTGGCCAGGAAAAACATTCACTCGCTTGTTTAATTCTTTTGCGGTCTAGATTTCTTTAATCTTTTTGCGTGTGTTTATAGATTACCTAGAGGGCCGTATCAAATGTTCTCGTATACAGCCCGGAGGCCAGAGGTTCCCCATCCCTGCTTTAAAAACTGCTTTTCTGTAGCACTTCAGTCAGACAACAGAAAATAACTTACTATCCCATGGACCAGTAATGGAGGGTTGTCCACCTGTCTCTTTCACTGCAGAAATAGGCATATGCAGTGTTGCATTGAGAAAAAGAATAAAAAACGTTTATGTTAATACACTTATAAACTGAATGAAAATATCATGTTCACATTTCAATAACAGTAGAAACAAACATTCTTGAAATGTTTTTTTCTTTTTTTTAAATATGCAGCATCTTACCATCTGAATCACCAGAGTTTCGTAAGTCAACTGAAATACAGAACATAACAAAATATATATTTTATATATTATGTTTTCTTGTATTGTATTCTCATCAACATGTTAAAAATAAAGTTCACTTTTATTATGTTTAGATTAATTTAATATTAATAGGTAAAAGAAAGATTATTTTTTCATATGGTGTAAGTAATAATGCCCACTGACCTTTACGAATCTCACAGCTCCATACTGGTTCCCACTGTGGTTTGCGTTTCCCTTTGTTAAATTGAGAGAGTGTAAGATGGAGGTTACTGTCTGGATTCTCAATGTAAAAATGTTACCTTACCTTAAAACAAAAGGTAACAAATACAAAGGCATATTTTCACAGGTCAAAAAACTATGTTGCTCTGTGCTTCTTTCTCCTTCTCACTTCCAATCACCAGCAGCTGCCGTCGGCTATAACGTCTCGTAATCGCAAAACAGCTGCTGTCGTCTATGCCGTCAATTCCACACGACTGGTTCAAATAAATGATATAATAACACTAACAACAAAGGATTATAATATTAAAATATATCAAACTATACATTTTAACATATGGCTCCTACATACAGAACATAACAAAATATCGATTTTTTATATAGTTTTTTTGTATTGTATTCTCATCAACATGTTAAAATAAAGTTCAATTTTATTATGTTTAGATTCATTTAATATTAAAAGGTAAAAGAAAGATTATTTTTTTCATATGGTGTAAGTAATAATGCCCACTGACCTTTTCGAATCACACAGCTCCATAATGTTTTTTTGCGTTTCCCTTTGTTAAGTTGAGAGAGTGTAAGGTGGAGGTTACTGTCTGGATTCTCAATGTACACTTCATAGAAGTTTGGCTCTTGGCTTTCATATCTGAGGGTTATTTTCTGTGTGAAAAAAAAGAAGAAAATAAATAAAAGATAGAGATAACAAAACCAGATGTGGGGGTCAATATTGCAATAAACAAAAGATTTCAGACTTTAAAAAAAAAGTGAATTAGTCGGATGGCCAGCAGAAAACCTTATGGTGGTTATTTCAAATGGAGAAGTCCTTATTGTTGAACTTAAGTTTGATGGTACTGTATGCATGCCGGTTTTTGACTAAATCCATAATTTGATATGCCACTGTTAAATTACCAGCATCAATCTTCTCACATTCGCTCCCCTAGATTAACAGATGTTGGCTACTGAACCATAGCTAATTCTTCTGTCTGTATGGCATATCTTATTATGTCTTTATTAAACAAGGACCATGCATATCAATACATTAATTACAAAAAGGGAAGAGATGATGTATGGTAGAATTTACAGTAGCTATTAGATAATTTCCATCTGTAGTCCCTGGGTAGGTAAATACATAAAAATCAACAAAAGTGCAGATCTATAAAATACAAATAACAGCTCAAAGCATATCCCAATGCCTGGTGGTTGTAAATTAAAAAGCTGATGGTGCAAAGGTAGTCCACCTCAGTGGGGTGTTTAAGACTAGTGGAAATGTTGATGTTCTGAATATTTGTGTGTTCTCATGATATTCCCTTTAAACAGTAGCCATTTGACATCTCTTGCAAGGTTAACACAGGTGTTATTTATCAAATAAATAACTGTCCGGTTTTAATTAGTGTCACATCCATTCTTGTCTAGTCAGCATTAACAATAGCAGGAACCTGGCCCAATTTACTGGCAATTCAAACTGTACCTCTGGGCAAATCTCGGCCGTTATGCCTGCTGTGAGGTTGAAACCTTCGTGCAGCGTCAGGCCCTCGTCTGGGCGTGGCTTTTGGCCAGCACAACCCTGCTTCAAGTTTACAGTGAGAAACATCTGTGTTTAAAATGCATTCATGAAACAATAAGGTTTTAACAACAGAGTATTAGGGTCAGTATCTAGAAAAATAAAATGTAGATTTTGTTATTTCAGAATGGCCATCCATTCTAGTGAGTCAGCATTAACAATACCAGGAACCTGGCCCATCTACATGAACCATAATAAAACACAATTCACAATGAAAGATCAAATTGCTGACTGACAAAGCAAACTGTACCTTTGGGCCAATCTGGGCCGTTGTTATGTCTGCTTTGAGGTTGAAATCTTGGTGCAGCGTCAGGCACTCGTTTGGGCGTGGCTTTTGGATCAATTTGAAGTGTTTTTTCTTCTTGTCCATGGTCTGAAAAAAGTAATTAATCCAAGCACAACCCTGGTTCAAGTTTACAGTTAGAAACATCTGTGTTTTAAAATGCATTCATGAAACAATAAGGTTTTATCAACAGAGTATTAGGGTCAGTATCTAGAAAAATAAATGTTTATTTTAGATTTTGTTATTTCAGAATGGCCACTGAGGAAAAGGTCATACTGTACCTTCGAGAAAAAATGTCTTTAACGTTTTGAGAGTAACGAAATAAGTGAGATCAAACCAAGCTGCAGCGTCATCGACAATTACCACCGAATAGGTCTGAGGCACGTCTGTGATTGTATTAAACATTTATAGCAACATGTGAAACAATTAAATTGGCTTAAATGCTTTGCTGTTTGAAGCAGCTCTCCATGGAGCAGAACTTTCCCTTGAGTGATAATCTAAAAAACTAAATGATATCTCGCTTGATAAGTATTATCAGGGAACACGTTATAACACAATGATAAGTATAAAGTTATATGTCAACCATGTATTGATCATTGAGAGTCATATTGCAAACATAGCTTCTAGCTTTGGGCAGAGCTAGCTCTGTTTGTAGGGACTTGGCTTGGCGACCAGAGGGTTGCAGGTTCAAGTCCTTGAACGGATCAAGTGAAGAGTGGGGACTGATACTTGTGAGGTGGCAGTTGGTCTCCTGGTCATGCTGAGGTAACCTTGAGCAAGGCACCAGAGCCCCACACTGGGCACTGTAATATAGCAGTCAACTGCTTCTTGTTTAAGGATGGGTTAAAGGCAGAGACTAGAATTCACTGTGTGCGGTGCTGTGTTCATGTTTGACGATTGGAAGTTGATTGTATTCAAATCTCCATTTCCATAACATACAATAGGACCCTTTTCAGATAATATTTCCTTCATATGTTTTCCCTCACTTATGACTTTACTCTCATAACAGGACTACTTTAAGAATTAAAGATGTTATTTTCATAAATTCAGCCCAAATACTCCATTGTAGGTTTTGATTTCATTTTGAATGTGTGACAGTAAGATATTCAGTAACCTCTTTAAGAGCAGGATCGAGCGGGGTCAGGTAAACATGAAGAAGGATGCAGGATGTGTTGAGTTTAGAATAAATCAACACGTTACAGTGTATTTTTACTGGAAAGCCCATTTTCATCAGGACCGCTCTTGGAGAGAAAACTGGTTCAGACAGCTTGACATGGGACGATGTGACTACAGACACTTTTTCCACAACATCTCCACAGTCATCTATGTGCAGGACTGCAAACTTTTGCAATATTTTAGGGATGTCATCTGCATAGTACAAAGCATAAACAATTAATGTGAATAAAAAACAATTGCAATGATTATTTTGTTATTTCCCTCCATGATCACTTACCTATGCAGATCCAGTGTGGCAGGTACACTTCAAATAACTTCCCAGAAATCCCTGTGATGTCTATGAGGGGACCTGCAGGCATGTATTTCATCATCTCCATCCTCTTCATGGGTTCCTCCGAAGAGCAAAACTGGTACTTAAAGCTGACCTTTTCCTGACAGACCCAGCGCAAGCCAGAGACACTGCATTCAAAGTTTCCCGCTTCAGACTTTAAGCTAAAATATGATGAAAAAAGTACTGAGTTTGTATTTAGTACAAAATGTAGCATTAATACTATTGGGGAAATATTTGTAGCAGATCTTAGTGTTCTCTCTGAAGAAATCCCAAGACCGAAGCTTCAGTGTTTACTATATTTCCATTTGATAATATGCAGTATTTAGGAAACTATTTGTACCTGTAAGTTGATGCCTCATCTTCATCTGTACTGTTCACCTCAGGTTCAAGTTTAGTCCAGCCACTGGAGTCCTTCTGCAGAGGCAATACATTTTACAAATAAGTGAAGACGTGACTTTTGGAAAAATCACATAAATTAACCCATACATGATCAACATGTAAGATGAACACTTAAAAATAATTAAGGAATTACCATCATTTTTTCACTGCCCTCAAGCTCCAAGCTTCTTGAAGGCCCTTGTGAAGAAACAAGATTTTTTTTTAATGATGTTCCTTAAAACAATGTCAATTAAATCATATGGTAACTTCTATGCCCTTTAGCACGATGTGCTACATAGCGCTGATGTAGCAATAGAGCAAATTTGTTATGCAGGAAATACTGGTGAGTGATGTCTTTTTGGAAGCTTGAAATAATACAATGGAAATACACTTGACTTTTCACACCTTTGGATCCTAAAGTGATGTTTGACAACTTTTGCTCCAGACCATAATCGTCTTCTTTCATCTTCTCTAAAATCTCCATTGTCAGCTCCATAGACTGTTGGCCGTAGATCTCCACCATCAGATCCACAATCTCCACTCTCCCTGCCGTCTCTAATCTCTGATTTGAGATTATTTGGAGGCCACGCTTGAATTTCTCGAGCTCTCCATCACTTAAATCTTCCAGTGTTTCCAGAAGCTTCTTCTCCAGTGATGCCACAGTTACTTCCTAATGGATTCAATGTCATCAGAGGGAATTAAATTTAATATCTCCACTAGTTGAAAACATTTTCCAACATTTGCAAACTGTGAAACCTAAATGAGAGCCGTGTTGTGTAAAGTGTGTCTGATGTGATATGACTCACCTCCTTCGGTGGTTTGGACGGATGTTTATCTAAGGAGAAAACAAAGGAAAAGCCTCATCATGACTGATTCAAAATCAGATTATAAACGACTTCTTAAAGGAAAGTTTTTTTTTATTTTTTTTCATTACTCCACTTCAGTCACAAAGAATCAAAAGTCTTTATTAATCAGGAGCCGTGTTCAACAACAGGAAAACGATATAAGCTATAAAACTGCAGCTATATAAAACGTTTGTTTACAAACTCCCAAACAACTCGTGCAGTAGAATCCAAGTCTCATTTATCCTGGCACGAGCTCACTACTTCCTTAAAACATGCATTTTCACTAAACCTTCCTGTTTTATACATTTCAAGGCACAGACGGGTACTCCACGTGCAAGTATGAGACTGTTGATGACAAAGTGTTTTAGAGGTTAGGTATTTTTGATAAAGCTGAACTGTTATTAAACACGCCCCCATTTACTTCAATTCATAAAGACTTTCTCCATTGTTTGATTTGTAACTCACAGTGGAGGCATGCAAGAAAACAGATGTCTTCAACAATTATGGAGAACTCAGGTTGAGTAATTGTAATACAGAACAACTGGTTATTTTGTAGGTGAACTATTCCTTAAAATCTAAAACTCAAATACAAAAGCATTGCAACAATTACAAAACTCATGACTATGAACTCTTCTGTGTGATGCAGCAGTTTTTGTTTCCTTTCTCTTACCTTTGAGTCTTAAAATAGTCTCTGATAATCTCTCCACTAGATCAGTTCTGTCCAGGTCCATTAAAACCTCCCTGGTCACCTCCACAGACTGCGGACCACAGGTCTCCACCATCTGATCCACTAGCTGGAGTGCACTTCCTGTCTGATAGGGATATCCATGAAAGGAGGAGGATATGCTCTTCTGGAAGTACGTGAACGGCAGATACCACTGAAATCTGTAGAGCTCATGGTCACTCATATCCTTAAGAGTTTTCAAAAGGATCTCTTTCTCTGCTGCAATTGGTGCCTGAATTCAACAGATGTGTAAGAAAAGGTGTTATTTCACTATGGAAATGAATATTACTTTGTTTTCATTTCTTCAGTCAGTGTTTCAGACAAGAGGATTTTATCAAATGTTTACAAGATCTCTCAAGTCAAAGACACACTAACATCTGTTCTATTAAATATGTTTATCTTTGTTCTTGACTAATGCACATTTGTATATGAGTGTTCAGACTTCAGTCTGCTAATCTGATCAGAACATCAGTGGAAGAAAAATCATTTTGACAGAAGAGACCAACCTTAAAAATGGTTTGGTTTGCATCATAATGTTTATGTTCAAGATGGATATGGTTAACAACTTGCATCTATAGAATGAAAGCTGTAATGTGTAAAGTCAGACTCACTCCCTCGGACTGTGCAGGTCGATGTTCATCCACAGAGTACATCTCTGAAGAGAGAAAATAAAGTGAATGTCTAACACACAAGATCCCAGCAACTAAACTAAAATACTTCAATGTAAAACATTCTGTTTCTTGTTGAGACTATATGTCGGTGGCATTTTATGGTATTTTAATTATTTCTTTAATGTTTGTATAGATTCCTGTCCCATGTTTTTTTTATACTTCACATTGTTAATGATGACAGATTATTTTTTATACTGAAATATAAAATGTATGCGATGTGAGTTTTTCTTTCTTCTTTGTCCTACCTTTGAGTTCTGAGCTGGGCTTTGTCAACCTCTGCCTCAGATCAGTCCTGTTAATGTCCTTCAAAACCTCCATGGTTATCTCTACACACTGTTGGCCGTAGATCTGTATCATCTGTTCCACTGTTTGTGCTCTGCCTGGTGAGGATCTCAAAATCCATGAAAAATATCTCAGCTTCTTCTTGGAGACAATTAAATCCAGGGTCTGCATGAATTTCTCAAGATCCTCGTTTCTCAAATCATTCAGAGTTTCCAAAAGCAGATTTTTAACAGCTGCCATTGTTGCTACCTGAAATAATCAATACATTCATCAGACATGTGTATATTCCTCTTGGACAATTACAAATGTGTCTATTTGCTATAAACTGGTTAGTTGTTGTTGGGTTTGACAGACAGACAGACAGACAGACAGACAGACAGACAGACAGGCAGACAGACAGACAGACAGACAGACAGACAGACAGACAGACAGACAGACAGACAGACAGACAGACAGACAGACAGACAGACAGACAGACAGACAGACAGACAGACAGACAGATCATCATAGATAAGTCGATCATGTGTTTGGGTCAAATCATTATCTGTTGAAGGAAAGGTGTGTTGTAGAAATGTAGAAAGTCAGACAGATGTGACATTACTTACTTTCTGGATCACTGCAGGTCGCTGTGCCTCTGAGTGCTTCTCTGAAGAGAAAAGAGGTGGAGATAAACCAACTCAATTCATTTTACCCTCTCCCAAAATATTAATCATTGCTCTGATTAGTCATGAAACATATTTTGTACACTAGGATATAAATACATTATAAATATACGTTTCATCTATATTTATAACTTAAAAAGAAGAATACAGAGCTTATTAACTTAGGATAAACAGGTTTGATGATTTAAAGATGTTTGTGTTTTATTAGTCTTACTTTTGGGTCCTGAGCTGCTTTGTGACAGCCTCTGCACCAGATCAGTCCTGTTCATCCTCTCAAAAGCCTCAGTGGTCATCTCCAGCAGTCTGTGCTGGCTGTGATCTCGCACCAAATAAAACACCATGTCCTGCCTGTCTCTCATCATGAGCCACCTTGGTGAGATGTCTGGGTTTCCTTTGTCAGAGAGAATTTGACTCAGGACCCTCTTAAAACTCGGTAAATCCTGGTCACTCAAATCTTTCAGTGTTTCCAGAAGCAGCTCTATGACAGACGCCATCGTTTCCACCTGGTAAAATCAAAGGAGATGTTAATGGGGCAAAAGAGCAATTTCTCAGCTGGAATGATTACAGATTATTTTGGTTTACAACTCGTCAGTTTCAGTGTTTTGCAAGAGTGGATGTGGTAAGAGAACATCAGCCATGTCACGCACAACGTATCAGTGCACTTTATATTGTTCATCCAATTCATCACAAAAACATTTTCTTTTTGTATAAACGGCGTGTTTGATTCATGACTTTATTTGACCTCCTAGGTAACTCTTTCAAAGGCTGTGGTAGAAACATGTGATTTAACAACTGAGATGCAGTTTAACCAGTTGCATGTTTTTATTTTGGTATAAAAGAGTAAGAATCACTATCTATATTTGTGCATCAGTATTGTGAATTTCTCTTTCTCAATGTTAGAAAAACAACTCATGAAGAATGTGCTATAATTTCCCCTCCAGACAGACGTAACACAAATTATTAACACTACTCATAAATAACATTGATGCTTAGAACATACAGTATGTGTACCTAATTTGGCGTAATCAGATTATTTATGTAAGAAAACTATCCGAGACCAAAATATGTTTGTATCATGAATAATGTTCAGGAAGGAGATTATTTTCAGTCTTCTAAATCTACTGAGTCAAAGCTGCACTGGGTGGAGTCAGAGTGATGGGACATTACTCACGCTCTGGATCACTGAAGGAAGAGGTTCCTCTGAGGAGAAAAAATGACACACGACTGATTCAAAATCAGACTATGGACAACTTTAGTCAGATTGAGTTACTTTTGAAAAAAATAACGTAATATGAATAATTAAACTAAATAACACTCAAATATGGTTCATGCTGGCATCATTAAAATCAATCACAAAGAGTGAGAGATTTGCCATTATATTATTAACACCCATTAAAGGAACACTACACCCACAAAATGACCTTTTAATAGAAATGACTCCTGCCTTGTTACCTTTAATTCTTCAAGAAACAAAACAGAAAAAAATGTTTATTAATCGGGAGCTATGTTTAACAAGAGAACAACTTTATTATCTGTAAAATTAAAACTATATAAAACATCTATTTACAAACTCTCACACAACTCGTGCAGTAGAATCCAAGTCTCATTTATCCTGGCACGAGCTCACTACTTCCTTAAAACATGCATTTTCACTAAACCTTCCTGTTTTATACATTTCAATGCACAGACGGGTACTCCACGTGCAAGTATGAGACTGTTGATGCAGAAGTGTTTTAGAGGTTAGGTTGTTTTGATAAAGCTGAACTGTTATTAAACACGCCCCCATTTACTTCCATTAATGAAGACGATCTCCATTTCTTTATTTGTTACTCACAGCGGAGGCATGCAAGAATTAAAGAGAACTCAGGGTGAGTAATTGTAATACAGAACAACTGGTCATTTTGTAGGTGAACTATTCCTTAAAATAAAATAAACTCAAATACAAAAGCATTGCAACAATTACAAAACTCATATGAACTCTTCTGTGTGATGTAGCAGTTTTAGTTTTCTTTCTCTTACCTTTGAGTCTTAAGATAGTCTCTGATAATCTCTCCACTAGATCAGTTCTGTTCAGGTCCATTAAAACCTCCCTGGTCACCTCCACAGACTGCGGACCACAGGTCTCCACCATCTGATCCACTAGCTGGAGTGCACTTGCTGTCCAATAGGGATATCCATGAAAGGAGTAGGATATGCTCTTCTGGAAGTACGTGAACTGCAGCAAACACTTAAATCGGTAGCGCTCATGGTCGCTCATATCCTTCAGAGTTTTCAAAAGGATCTCTTTCTCTGCTGCAATTGGTGCCTGAACAAATAAACAGATGTTTAAGAAAAGGTGTGATTTCTCTATGGAAATAAATATTACTTTGTTTTCATTTCGTCAGTCAGTGTTTCAGACAAGAGGATTTTATAAAATGTTTACAAGATCTCTCAAGTTAAAGACACACTAACATCTTTTATATTAAATATGTTTATCTTTGTTCTTGACTAATGCACATTTGTATATGAGTGTTCAGACTTCAGTCTGCTAATCTGATCAGAACATCAGTGGAAGAAAAATCATTTTCACAGAAGAGACCAACCTTAAAAATGGTTGGGTTTGCATCATAATGTTTATGTTCAAGATGGATATGGTTAACAACTTGCATCTATTGAATGAAAGCTGTGATGTGTAAAGTCAGACTCACTCCCTCGGACTGTGCAGGTCGATGTTCATCCACAGAGTACATCTCTGAAGAGAGAAAATAAAGTGAATGTCTAACACACAAGATCCCAGAAACTAAACTAAACTACTTCAACGTAAAACATTCTGTTTCTTGTTGAGAGTCTGGTCTGTTGGTATTTTAATATTTTAATATTTGTCTAATGTTTGCATACATTCCTGTTCCATGTTTTTTTTATACTTCACATTGTTAATGACTACAGATTATTTTTTATACTGAAATATAAAATGTATGTGATGTGAAGGTATTTGGTTTTCTTTTTGATTACCTTTGAGTTCTAAGTTTGTAAACCTCTGCCTCAGATCAGTCCTGTTAATGTCCTTCAAAACCTCCATGGTTAACTCTACACACTGTTGGCCGAAGATCTCCATCATCTGTTCCACTGTTTGATCTCTGCCTGCTGAGGGACTCCAAATCCATGAAAAATATCTCTGCTTCTTCTTGGAGACAATTAAATCCAGGGTCTGCTTGAATTTCTCTAGATCCTCGTTTCTCAAATCATTCAGAGTTTCCAAAAGCAGATGTTTAACAGCTGCCATTGTTGCTACCTGAAATAATCAATACATTCATTAGACATCATTCATCAGTGTATATTCCTCTTGGATGATTACAAATGTGTCTATTTGCTATAAACTGGTTAGTTGTTGTTGGGTTTGACAGACAGACAGACAGACAGACAGACAGACAGACAGACAGACAGACAGACAGACAGACAGACAGAGATACAGACAGACAGACAGACAGACAGACAGACAGACAGACAGACAGATCATCATAGATAAGTCAATCATGCGTTTGGGTCATATCATTATCTGTTGAAGGAAAGGTGTGTTGTAGAAAGTCAGACAGATGTGACATTACTTACTTTCTGGATCACTGCAGGTTGCTGTGCCTCTGAGTGCTTCTCTGAAGAGAAAAGAGGTGGAGATAAACCAACTCAATTCATTTTACCCTCTCACAAAATATTAATCATTGTTCTGATAAGTCATGAAACATATTTTGTTCACTAGGATATAAATACATTATAAATATACGTTTCATCTATATTTATAACTTAAAAAGAAGAATACAGAGCTTATTAATTTAGGATAAACAGGTTTGATGATTTAAAGATGTTTGTGTTTTATTAGTCTTACTTTTGGGTCCTGAGCTGCTTTGTGACAGCCTCTGCACCAGATCAGTCCTGTTCATCCTCTCAAAAGCCTCAGTGGTCATCTCCAGCAGTCTGTGCTCGCTGTGATCTTGCACCAAATAAAACACCATGTCCTGCCTGTCTCTCATCATGTGCCACCTTGGTGAGATGTCTGGGTAGCCTTTGTCAGAGAGAATTTGACTCAGGACCCTCTTAAAACTCTCTAAATCCTGGTGACTCAAATCTTTCAGTGTTTCCAGAAGCAGCTCTATGACAGACGCCATCGTTTCCACCTGTTAAAATCAAAGGAGATGTTAATGGGGCAAAAGAGCAATTTCTCAGCTGGAATGATTACAGATTATACAGATTATTTTTCACGGCCGATTCAACATGTTGAATTGGCCATGCGTCGGCCATGAAAGGCCAAATAAGGCGTGTCACGGCCGACGGTGCGGGACACACCAAATTGAGTTTGGGCGACAGGGCACGCTTCGTCGTCCGACTAACGAGTGGAGCCTCGCAGCGGCGAAATCGTGCTGCGCTACACTAATTGCGCCGCATAGGCGCTTAGGTGCGCCGCATTTTCGGCTCAGTTGAGGCACCCTCCGCAAGATGAGGCCCCCTCCGCAAGGTGAGGCCCCACGCAGTCTGCATGATCGGCCTGTAGGGAGGGACGGCCCTGAAAGCTGGTAAAGATGCAGCTAGTTTTAATGACTTTGTATACTGCAGGGTAGCTTGTGAATTTACTCCAGGTGGAACTGAAGTCTGATTTAAAACTTGATTATATTTCACATCATTAATCCAGATCTGTAAAGTAACTAAAGGTATTCAATACATGTAATGGAGTAAAAGTACACCATTTACCTCTGAACTGTAGTGGAGTAGTAGAAGTACAAAGTAGCATCAAAGTCAAGTAAAGTACAAATATCTCAATTTGTACTTAAGTACAGTACTTGAATAAGTGTACTTAGTAACTTCCCACATCTGAAATCAGATATATGACTTCAAGTCATGTGATAATTTCTTAGTATTTGATCCTTCAACTTGGCCTCAGGAAATGCAAGGACTTCACAGTTTTGGCCACAAATTTTGGAGAAAGCAAATCGGAGGCTTAAAAAGAGACAGGGAGGGGCATCTTCATCATCTTCATCATCTAGCATGCAAGAAGTGTAAATAGAGGACAGTGAAGGAGACACTGAGGAGGACCACGCTTCGTGTGGGGTGAGTACCAAACGCTGTCTCCTAGTACTCATCTGAGTAACTCACTAAAAAAGTGATGTGCACCCCTGAATATAATACATCAACCGTGCTTTCCCCAGTATGGGATTAGTTGTGTGTCATAAAGATAAAGCAACACTTTCTCAGAATCAAGCAAAACTAAGAGTTTAAGAGAAAAAATAACTGAGTCAAGCGAAATCAATTTAATTTAAAAATAAATACTATAAGTTGCAAACAAATCATTTGTGTAATCATTTAAACTATAAGTCTTTTTTCTTTGTTTTAACATATCTTTTTGTTTGCAGTTCTTGTTGCTTCTTTCTTTCTGATCAGACTTTTGCTCTCGCTGCAGCTCTCTCGTTTGCGCTCCCTCATTTTTTGTTTTCGATTCTGACACAAACATCCAAGGTGGGCGGGACTTTCAGGGGTGCGTCCCCATTGGCGCCTCAGTTTTTGAGTGACAGCCCAGTCCTCCAGCGATTGTACAGTGCAGCTGAGAGCTGCAGCGAGAGCAAAAGTCTGATCATTGAGGAAGAAGAAACAAGAACTGCAAACAAAAAGATATGTTAAAACAAAGAACAAAGACTTATAGTTTACATCAGGCATCCTCAAAGTCCGGACTCCGGACCGGACCACCACTGTCTCCGGACTCTGAGTAAATTATACTTTTCATATGCATTATCTGCAGTGGCGGCCGGTGGTCTTTTTTTTTGGTGGGGCTCTTGACGTACCGTAAGTGACCTGTCCGGGGGGTCCGGGGGGTTTCCCCCCGAAATTTTTTTTCGAGAAATGACCCCTTAAATGATGACTTCTGGTGATGTTAGAGGGGGGGGGGGAAAGGAGAAATCGAGGCTTAAAAATATGAGAAGACTGATCAATACTTCCATAATCTTCAGTGTGGAAAATATTATTTATCAACCTGAACATCTACTACTTTACCAGGAATTTGTGTTCTCAGAACTGGTCTGTTTTTTTCTTTCTTAAAACTGTTCATGTTTTATGAACCAACACCTTCACCAAGTAGCTTTACAGTGAACTGCATGTGAGATATAAAATTAATAGCATCTTTTCAGTAGCATTAATTATAAATATTTAAGTGGTTCAATACAAGTCACTACAGCATTTCAAACTGAACTGTGAATAAATGCAATTTAAAAAAAATAACCACAGCACAAAATGTCATAAATTGTGTTTTTTCTTTGTTTCTCTGAGGATTATTTACAAACAGGCTTATTTACATATAGCAATAACTCAGAAATGAAAAAGCTACATCGTCTAACACGAACAACCAGTTAGCATAATGATAATATATGTGTTATGTACAATGTAACTGGCAAGGCTAGAGCAAGAAAGAACATAAAGTTTGCAAAAGGTTTAAATAACTTCAAGTATCTGTCTTCAGATTACGTGGAGGTTTTAGTCCGATGGGAAGCAGATTTTAAGCGACACCGAAGATAAACCAAAAATGTGGTGGAGCTGCAAACCGTGTAGTGTTGCTGGGACAGAACAGAGCTATAACCGTTGGAAAATACATCACAGACAATGCAACAAACGTGGAGACAGAACAATCACTTCTGTGATAAATGCCCACTTATTAATAAACTTCTAACAACCATGGGAAACCTCCTCTCTACATATAAAGTGATATCCAAGCATGGGAAACAAAAGACAGCATTTACCTGTTTGCATCCAGCTAGCCAAGCCTTTCTTGTGTACCAGCTACTAAGCCTCGTGTATAAATGTTGTCTTTTTCACGAGATTGCTGCGATATATTCAAATCGGGTTGGTCCGGTGCAAGGTCTTTAAGCAACAATTTATCTGCCAAACTTCTCCTTTCGAAAGGATTGGAGATTAGCTCTTGAACAGAATTAGCCGGGGACCGAGGTCCGGAGACTCCACCTGCACACGAAGCCATCCTCATCAACTACTGCGTCAACCGGATACGAGTCACTGTCCAAACTACTCACAGACTGCACTGGGCGCTGACATTGGCGCCCGGTGACCGTCATCTTTGACGACGCTGATTGGCTGAAATTATATTTTCGCGGCATAGTTTACATGTTACAGATAGCAACAGTCAGCTGCTGGTGGCTGCTGCTGCACTGGTTGTAGGCTCCTCTCTTAGCGCCCAGACGAGAGAAGGTGCATGGGCAAGTCCAGGCAGGAAACATGTGACTTATCAGTAACTTTAGACATCGTAACACAATTTTAAACGAGATTTTATTGTAGATTATACATTTTACTGATACCAATTATATAATATTTACCTTGTTCATTAAAAATAAAAATAAAAACATATATATTTTTTTAAACATATTTTTTTTTTTTTATTTTAATTTTAATTATTATTTATTTTTATTTTTTTCAATATGGGAAGAGGTGGGGCGGCCGCCACTGATTATCTGTATTATCTGCGAGACATCGCCACAACGCAACGAGTCAAAATTCTCCGCGATGTCAACTGCAAACAGCGCTCTGCATGTCCGATTGATCCACAGTCTGGAGCGATGTGTCTCTGTGCGACACACACACACACACACACACACACACACACACACACACACACACACACACACACACACACACACACACACACACACACACACACACACACACACACACACACACACACACACACACACACACACACACACACACACACACACACACACCCCGATCAACGCTTTGGTCCAATCACATTCAGCCTCCCGTCAGCGTTTTTTTCCCCCACCAACAGTCTGCGAATCAGAGGCACAGGAGGGCGGGTCTTCGCGGAATGAAAATACGTGTGTCGTCTCTTTCTACCTGTCTGAGTCAGCGCGGGAGTTTAAAAAATAAATAAAGTCAGAGCGAGAGTTGACAGCGCATCTAGTTGCATGTAGTAGTTTCAGCTGTAGCCTAGTGTAGCTAGTAGAAGAAAAATGGCATGTTCGAAGATGACCAATAAAAGAAAAGTCGACAGTGAAAACCGGCAATTCAAAGCTGAATGGACTGAAAAATATGCGTTCATCCTCCCTCCAGCGAGCACCAAACCAATGTGCCTAATATGCCAAGAAACGGTAGCTCTTGTGAAGAGTGGCAATTTGAAACGGCACTATGACACGAAACACAGTTCTTTTGAAGCGACCTTTCCTCAAAATTCAGCGGTAAGAACCACAAAAATAAATGGGATGAAATCCTCATATGAAGCTGCAAGCAGGATCCTTGTTACATCTATGTCACAACGAGAAAAGGCAACTGAGTCCTCACTCAGAGTGGCATGGGTGTTGGCTAAACACAAGAAGCCATTCTCAGATGCAGAAATAATTAAAGAATGCATGACTGAAGTGATGGAGACCATGTTTGAAGGCAAACAAAAAGAGGAAATAACAGCTAAAATCAAGCAAATCACCCTCTCAGATTCCACAGCAACCAGAAGAACGGAAATACTGGCTGGTGATTTGATTAATCAGCTTTGTGATGGAATCAAAAATGCACAGTGCATTTCCTTAGCTGTGGATGAGTCCACTGACACCACTGACAATGCTCAGTTGCTGGTGTTTGTGCGATTTTATGATGAGGCAAAGGGGGAGTTTGTTGAAGATGTGTTGGGCCTTACAGACCTCAGTGGACACACAAGGGGGGAAGATATTTATAAAGCCATAATGGGAATGCTGAATGAAAGAGGGATAGATCTAAAGAAAGTGGTGTCAATTGCTACTGATGGAGCTCCAGCCATGATGGGGAGAGAGAGAGGACTGGTTCAGCGCCTGAAAGATCACCACCCTGACCTGATCTCATACCACTGCATAATCCACCAGTCTGTCCTTTGTGCACATCTTGGAGAAGTGTACTCTGAAATCATGGCAACAGTGATGAGACTCATAAACCTTTTGAGAGCATCATCTTCACTGCAGCATCGCTTGCTGCGCACATTCCTGACAGAGGTCAATGCAACTTTTGATGATTTGCTCCTGCACAACAACATCAGATGGCTGAGCAAAGGCAAGGTCCTGGAGCGTTTTTGGGCCATTAGGAAAGAGCTGCAAGTGTTTCTGTCAGAGCAAAAGAGTGCAAAAGCAAAACAGTTCATGGAATTCATGCAAAATGAAGAGAAGATGGAAGCTGTTGCATTTTTGGCTGATATAACATCTCATCTCAATGACCTAAATCTCAAGCTGCAGGGCAAGAACAACACAGTGTGTGAGCTGATGTCAGCAGTGCGTGCTTTCCAGAGGAAACTGGAGGTTTTCAAAAGTGACCTACAGGTAAGCCTTTTTAATATTTTCTACCACACACATTCCCTGGATTCCAATGAACACCTTTTTGATACTTTATCATACCCTTTTAAGCAGTGCTCCTTATATATTTGTCTTATTTATTTATTTTTTCCTACAGGAGGGACTGCTCCACTTCCCCAAACTTTTGGAACAGACCAAAGGAGAAAATCGTCCTCAGAATCATGTTGAATTCCTGGAGAAGCTGATTTAAAACTTCAAGACTCGCTTTGATGACTTCAGATTAGGAAAACAAGTCCTACTGTACATTGAAAACCCATTTCTGGTCAGAAATGTCAGAGAGTTCTTTGCAGAAGCACAACAAATCTTCCCATGGGCCAGTGCTGCTTCTCTGCAAAGTGAGTTGATTGACCTCCAGGAAAACCTTGCACTGAAAGAGGCTGACTGTGACACTCCCACCTTCTGGACAAAGATGGTCACTGCAGCTAATTTCCCTCTCCTGCATAAGATGGCACTTCACATTCTCACAATGTTTGGCTCAACCTACAGGTGTGAGTCTGCATTCTCAACAATGAACATGGTGAAGAACAAGTACCGCAGCCGACTCACCAATGAACACTTGCATCAGTGTGTCCGCCTGGCCATCACTCCTTTTGTGCCAAAGTTCAAAGTCTTGGCAACAGACCAAAGGTGCCACTTCACTTTTTTGTTTTTGCAACCTCGTGTTAAAAATCGTGTTGCAATCGTTTACAAGTTTGACTGACCGTATTAAACGGACCTTTGTCGTATTGAACATTTTCTTTGTGGACCTTTAAGATTTGTATTTGAGTACCCCTGGTTTACATGATTACACAAATGATTTGTTTGCAACTTATAGTTTTATTTTTTAAATTAAATGTATTGTGCTTGACTCGATTTGTTTCTTCTTTTAAACTCTTAGTTTTGCTTGATTCTGAGAAAGTGTTGCTTTATCTTTATGACACAAAACTAATCCCATATTCCTGAACCTCATCATGACACTAGAGAGGACGGCAGGATTGTAATTTCCCGTGTTCAGTGAATGCAATTATTATGTAAGAATTTATTTCCAAGGCACACCTTCATATGATCATTATAGTTATAAAAAAAACAAGAGAATAAATGAAAAACAGTTATGAAATACTATATGACAGTAAAACAAGAATACAGTTTAAAAGGCTAGTGATTTGTAAAATATCCATAGAGAAAAAGAAAATCTGTTTACAGTTCTGTTTCATATGGGTGTTGAGAGATGTATCCATAGATCTCTTAATTTTGCTTTATTGCATTTAACTTCAATATTTGAAAACAAATCTTCTAAAGCTAAACAATTTATTATATGGTTTAAAATTAACATTTGAATAATAATATATAATATAAAATGTATCTCAGGCACAATGAAATGAAATAAAAATTATATATAAAAAAATAAAATATGCAGCACCCCCCTTCCCGCGCCCCAAAGCTTAATAAAAAGCCCAAACATAATATTAATAAAACAAATGACAAAGATAATAGAGCAGATAGGACATATTGGAAATAAAATGGCAGCATTAATAAAAAATTTAAAAAAGCTGTTAAACAGATAATTTCTTACCAGTATTTTAAAGAATGTCACTGACTCTGCCAGACTCAGTCGTCACACAGACATTACATAGCTGCACTTTTCCTTATATAACATCTGTGTGCAGTGGTGAGGCTGGAGGGACGGGTTCGACTGGAGTGTAATACAGCATCACTTCAGAGGGGAACAACACACTTTAAAATGAATCCTTAAAAAAGCATTTCATGACCTACATCCCACACATGAATTTACAACTCAAATGAGAAAATCAAACATAATACAAACACATTACATTTCCAAATGTGTAGTATTGAACTCCAACAGGCATTATCTATCAGACAGCTCCCTCTAGAGCCACATAAGGCTTTGTATAACTTTTTTTACTCATGCGGCAGCTACTTTACAAGACTCCTAAACAGACTGGATATCTAAACATTGCTGCAGTTCCCCTTTAAATGTATAAACTGTACTTTCATCACCAAGTAAAGTCCTCCCTTCATCTAAATATACAAGAAGGTAAGGCTAAACAATTAGTTCATACAAATTGAGGTTGGTTAATAAAGCAACGTTTGTGGATAACGTCAAAAGAATACTACCTTCTTCCAGTATCCCTCTGAACAATCAGTTTAATAAATAATAATAATAATATGTAAACATTTTGAAAAATCTAGGAGAGCGACGTTCCTAAATCTGTTAATTTCATTACATCATTATGTCTGATCAACTTTTAAAACACTCTATTCACTCGACATGTGTAATATTTATAAGAGTTTATTGAAAATGTATTTCGAAATAGAAAACATTGGCCTCCAAAAGTAAACATATTTTCACGAGGGAAAAAACAACAATAGAATCGTTTAGCACATAAAACAATAATCAAAATTAAAATCTGCATGCAAAACCTAAGGATAATCATTCATGATCAAGCATCCTTTAATGTATAAAAATAGGTTAAAAGCAGACTCAATCCATCTGGGATTTGCTGGATTAAAACATTACATGTCAGGTGAGAACGCTAAATCATTTCTTACATCTTTACATTACATGAATGACTTACATGGTTTGCTGAATCTGGTTTTAACCTTACAGGAAAACGTATACATTTTATAAAATATGACTGGTCCAAGTGTAAAAAAAGGCAAGAGCTATGATCAAACATGAAGGTGCAAAAGCTATATTTGATAGAACCCCCTACAGAGACATTTACATTACCATTTCCCCATTGGAATCGTTTTAGACGTTTTCTTTCTTGAGGCACAATGTACGTTTAGTCTAAAAAATGATTTCTCCACAACATTCACTTTTTTCCCTTTAGCTCATCAATGAGATATTTCTCCTCTTTCTCAAGGATTCTGTAGAAGACGTCTTTCCCACGAGGCCCTGCTGATTTCAGGGGACCACTGAATAGTTTCCTCATCTTCTGCGGAGAGGTTGGGATTTTCCTAATTTGATCATAAATCGGTTTTGTGACTTTTTTCCCAAGGAGCTGATCCAAAATGTTTCCAACGCAGTTCACTCTGTCGATCAGCTCGGTTCTATGTTTATCCACAAAGTGCTCACCTGAGGAAGGAGGGAATAATGAGTAAAGTGTTGATGATGCCATGAAGCCAACTTGATACATTTCTAAACTAATATTTTATTTTCTATAACAGTGACTTCTCTATTTTAAATACAGTGGAGGAAATAAGTATTTGATCCCTTGCAGATGTTGTAAGTGTGCCCACTAACAAAAAAATGAACAGTCTATAATTTTAATGGTAGGTTTATTTTAAAAGTGTGAGTAAGAATATCAAAAAGAAAATCCAGAAATTGACATTATATAAAAGATCAAAATTGATTTGCATTTAACTGAGGGAAATGAGTATTTGATCCCCTTGCAACAAACAAGAATTCTGGCTCCCACAGACCGGTTACAGAAGTCCTCTTCCTTTAAAAAAGTACTCCTAATATCAACTTGTTACCTGTATAAAAGACACCTGTCCACAGAATCAATCAATCAGATTCCAACCTCTCCACATGGGCAAGACTAAAGAGCTTTCTGAGGACCTCAGGGACAAGATTGTAGACCTGCTCAAGGCTGGGATTGGCTACAAGACACTCCGAAAGTAGCTTGGTGAGAAGGAGACCACTGTTGGTGTGATTATACGGAAATGGAAGAAACACTAAATGACCATCAATCACCCTCGGTCTGGGGCTCCACACAAGATCTCGCCCCGTGGGGTATTGATGATCATGAGAAAGGTGGGGTATCAGCCAAGAACTAAAGGGGAGGAACTTGTTAATGATCTCAAGGCAGCTGGGACCACAGTCACCAAGAAAACTATTGGTAACACACTACACCATAATGCATAACATCCTGCAGCGCCTGCAAGGTCCCCTGCTCAAGAAGGCACATGAAAGGCCCCTCTGAAGTTTGCCAATGGACATCTGAATGATTCAGAGAAGTGGCTGATCCACGGGGATCACAAACCAAAATCAAGTGTGCACCCACCGTCTACCATGGTGTATTGAGCTGTCCCTCCAGCTGAGGGTCCAGCAGCTGAAACAAATTGAGGGAAAATTACAATTGCTTAATGATGGACAGCTTTGGACAGCAAAAGCCTCTTTTTTTTTTAAAGCACATGCAGAAAGAAGGACATAAAAGGAGTAACCATCTCTCATTGAGTTACACTGTATAACAAAGATGTACACTGAAAATACTCTATAGGAAACAAGTGGGGCTCTACCTTCACCAAACGCAGAACTCTAGCAGTGGTTATGGATAAACTGAGGCAGAATCTAGATGCCTGTAACGACGAGGCAGAGACACTGTGACTGGGAATAAGCAAACTGATGTCTTGATTGATAATATCATTTAGGTTAGGATGGGATCTTTTTGTTTACAGATATCCAGGCTCTAAACTCTATTAAAAAAGACTAATATTGGATTACATTAACAAAATGGATTTAAGTAGGCCTACGTAGTTTATCAATATCAATAAATCCCTTTAGCTACTGTAGCATATGGGCCTACATGATGCTTTTGTGTTAGAATGGCAGGAATAGCCATTAAGAGTTTTGTTTAAAGAGCATTTTATGTATAATGCAGGCGGCTTTTTAGGGATTTGTTTATGTATAGGTGCATAAATGTGTCAGGGCCTCAAACACCTACAGTATATAAAGACACCTTCCTTTACATGGAGACATGTTTGTTTTCTTCAATTTATTCACAATGGCTTTGATTTCATTAAAAACTTTAATGTGACAAGGAAAACAGTTGAATGTTCCACAAATTCACTTTTTTTGAGCTGTATGTACACATTATAACCCTCATCATCAAAGCGAAAATGACCAAATTCTGGACGATTATTAAACATGGATTAGTTAAATACCTGGTTTGGTTAAGTCATCAGTCCCTGAGAGTTTAGGAATATGCTCAGGTGCAACTTCCAGATCCAACATCAGGCTAATTGCCCAACACCTGACATCAATTGAAGTGATTTTTATTACTTAAAATAATAAATAAAACCATGGTATTACCTTTGAGATGAATCTTTTTCTTACCGTCTCCTCTCTCTTCCAGTTGCAGTTAGCTAAGCGTCCAGCAGAGGTCAGCCATGTCCCACATCAACACCACGGAGCTGCAGTCGCTCCTGCTCTCATTCCTGCAGCACTGCCTCAACAGCACAGGCATGCTGTCTCCACAGCTGCCTCAGAACTACAGTACCCAGCAGGCTGTGCACCAAGGGGGTGGAGCCGGAGCCAGGGCCAACTCTCAGGCCGTTTCTCAATCGTGAGGATATTGGCTTCCAAGCCAATATTTCAAGGATGCTACGTCATCGAGTGCCGCCGAAGGACTGTTCCAATCTCCAGCATACTTGGAATTCCACCGAGGCCGCGTCCTTGGTTTGGGGGAAATTTCGAGGCTGCACATGGGTAGACTTCGCGTCCTTAAAATCCCCACAATGCTTTGCGCATGGACCAATTTCCCCAAATCTGTGGCGGAAGATGTAAGGCGGGGCCTCTCATATGACGCACACCTGCACACTTGCTAGCCTGTTCCACTCTTCGTTTTCCGAATAGCAGGAAGTATTCTTGCCTTGCTTCTGAAGCAAGATGCTCGGCTCGGCTGTGCTACCAAGCCAGCATCCTCGCGATTGAGAAACGGCCACAGTCTCAGGGCATGCTATATATCCTGCTGGTGGTTGGCATGTTCAGCTTCTTCACATTCGGCATCATGCTCAGCTACATTCGCTCCAAGAAGCTTGAGAGCTCTCAAGATCCGTACCACCAGTACATCGCCCACGACTGGACCAAGGTGGTGTCTCGGTCCAGGGCCGTCGCCCAGGCGCTGCACAGGGAAGCAGCAGGAAACGGAGCCAGAGGCAAGGAACCCATCGTCATATGCAACCCTGCAACACTCGAGCAGCTGCCAGACTAGAATGAGACATTTAGCTATTTAAACACTTCCCACAGTTAAACATCTAATACACTGTAACACTAGATTTTTGATCACCTTAAAGGAGACCTATCATGCAAAATGCACTTTTGTACGTCTTTTATACATGAATATGTGTCCCCGGTGTTCCAGGGAACTCACCAAGTGTCAGAAAACACAACCCTCTCTATTTTCCTCCATACCCAAATCTCTAAAAAAGGGGCTGCAACGGATCTGATAAAAACTGATCCAGATTTGAACACTGTCCTGACGTCAGGACGGTGGCGCTACGGCAATTGGGCCAACTCCACCAATCAGGAGGAGACAGCCACGGCCATTGCCGTTCGAACGCGCTGGAGACGCTGTAGTACATATGCCAGGCCTGTACTTTAAACCTAAGACAAATTCATGTTTACCTCAGTGCGGCTCGTAGTTGTTACATACTGGACCTTCTTCTTCTTCTGCTACCTCACATTGCCCTCTATCGTCCATCTGGTAACCTGGCAACAGGAGGGCACTACGGGAAACGGGAGGGATCAAAAGACTCAAATCCAGTACACTCGGCAATAGTAAAGAAATTATTTAGAAAAAAATAGAGTGACTGTGACTCTAACAATAATTATGGAAGTAATACATAATAATTCTCCTAGATCTTTAGCTTTTTACCCCATTATTCTTGCTTCATACAGTATTGATTTTCAACCTAGTTTGAGTCAAAAGCTAAGAACCACAAATAACAATCAGAATATAAAACATTTTTAAAAATAATCTTTTATTTGACCATCCACAAAAAGTCAGCCATCATTGTTACAAACTGGTACATTCAAAGGATTCAGAACATCCATATGGTAAAAGGACACATTTGTATAGCAACTTTAAAGAAGGCAGTTTGAAGTGTTTTATTAAGAGCATTATTAAAGAAAAACATTGACTGCAAAAAACAGAAACAATGACATAAAAAATACATACATTGCATTTTAGGTATAAATCTATAATATAATAATAAAATATACATTAAAGGTGGGGTAGGTAAGTTTGAGAAATCGGCTCGAGATACACTTTTTGTTATATTCCATGGAATGCTCTTAACATCCCGATAGCAATGAATATCTTAAGTGCTTTAACAAAACAATCCATACAAAAATGTAATCTGTGGAAGCCGTAGTACTGTAAAAAGCACGACCAATCATTTTAGCCGGCCCGGCTAAAATAACTGGATGGCCTACCTGCCTGTCAGCCTTCCATCTGTGCACAAACTTATCTCGTGCCCTCATTGGTCATGTGCGCGTTTGTGTGTGTTGGAGGAGGGGCTCTGTAAGGAAGTGGCAGATTTTTTCCGGTTGTGTATTTTCAAATTCTAGCGCACTCGAGCCGGTTTCTCAAACTTACCTACCCCACCTTTAAAGTATAAACTCTATGAAATATCCTTGCTTAACTTTGAGAATGTGAGGGAAATAGGAATACATTTCTTTACCTCTATAACTCCAGAAGCATCATCATGAAATGTCCATTTATATTCATGCTTGAAAAGTATTTACAATAATTTTCCACTTCTGTTTTAAAAACTTTGCACAATTCAGTATGACTGACATCCTAAAGATATGTTACATTACTGAAGAAAAACATTTACGTTTTGTTGCTGAATAAATCTGCAATTCTGCAAGAGTTGAATCATGATAAAATACATTTGTGTGTATCAAAATATTTTAGTTCAAGGTGATGATCATTTTCATCCAGCATTCACTGAATGAAAGCTTGTTTAGAACCAGCAAGATGTCTCCTTGCTCACTCTCTGGATCCGTGTTCATCCACTGAGTTTCTTTGAGAAAGGAAAAGCCATTGTTAGTGCATTTTATGGCTCACCAACCTTAAATGTTAACACAGCGAGAGATCAATAAAACACAAACACAGATATGGTTGAGATTAATTATTATTCAGTTGCGCAACAACAAACAATAATGGGGAAACATTTACCTTGCTTCACAGCAACCAATCGCAGAAATGCCCCCCGAGTACAAGAAACAGACAGCAGATATAGGTTTTCTAAATGACGCACCCACATTTTCCTAATCATGTTTAATGCACGAACATACACTTGAACATACAGCTAACACGCCAACATCCTTATTGTTTCTTAGCTAATGCATGCTGTAATGTTCCAGATGTTGAAAGGTCAACATCTCATGACATCTTTAGGAGAAATTCATATCTTGTCAGGATATGAATTTCCCAATTAACAAAACATATCCTACGTTTGCACATGAACGCACACACTTTTCTTTACATTAACTAACACACGAACCTCAATGTTTTCCCTCTAACTCTATTATAATCTAAACATCCTCTTTGTCAGCTCACTTTAAGTGAATAATTAGCAAAGAGACGATTAGCCTCTTCGCTCTGGAAACTGTAATTCAATAACTTACCTAGTTACTATGACTAGGTCCAAGATTGATATAACACCATCAGTGACAACAGATCATACTCAGTTGACTTTAAGGAAACATAAAAAGCTTCATTGCTTCAAATTACACTATAAAATCTGGTAGTCAAAACAAATAAATAATCTGATGTTCAAGAGTAAAGTCTACACTCATGCTACCAAATCTATAAGGCAGTGTGTGCAAAGCTTTGAGTGATTTGTTCACATCCGCATGCTTACATGATCATTTTTAACAAGTTGATTGTTTAACACGTTCACCATTTTAGCTTAGCATGATACCATGTGCCAAAATACAGAATGATGATTATCTTACGTTATAATGGCTCTCGGCACCTACCTTCCTCCGCAGTATTCTCAAACTGATTATCCTTCAGCTGCAACACATTAAATGGAAATTCAAATTGGGGTAAAATCAGCCAAAATGCTTTCTTTGTTAATAATAAACCAAAACATGTAGGCACAAAGCTAAAGCCTTTTTCAGACACTTTAACATTGCTGGTTTAAGCTATAGTTCCCAACACCATGATGGGAAATAATTCCCAATATACCGATTTGACAAAAAGGCAGAGGCATTTGTTTTTCGTGTTTTCGTACATCTCTTTTCAAACTGAAATCTGCTTTTCGTTACTAACCCACCCTTTAGTTTAATTGTGTCATACTTGAGTGTCATTATTTTGTGTTTCAACATTTTACCGACTGTGAGGACCATACGGAGCATTAGTTGTGCCTTTAAAAGCTGCATGTACATAATACAATCATGAACTGTACTCAAATTGAGAATTCTAAAAGCTACATAACTGACTTTCAAAATATATTTTGGATGTAGAGCTACCCTGCACAAAGTTTTTGATTTAGAATTTAAGCATATTATATCTGTTATAAATGGTACAACAAAGACGTGATTAAACTTTTGACTGCGTTTTGCTCTGCATCAGCCAATCGGCTTGCTACTCCCTCACTAAGAGTGCTACCCAGATACACCTCAACAAACACACGCCTGTTTGCTATCCTGGCTCCAAAATAGTATAACAAACTCCCCTGATATCAGGATGGCAGTAAATCTGCACATCCTCTGTCATAGACTGAAAACTGATGCACCTTGGCTAATAAATCAAATAAAAAAAATATCACATTTCTGTATGAAGCACCTAAAAAGTGTTGGCTTATTTTAAGCAGACGCAGTTTAAATTGTTTTCCTACTTAAAGCAAATGTCCTTGCAGGATTCTTACTTTTTTAATTTCTATCTTCATGGTTGAATTACATTCAAGCGTAAGTCGCTTGAATGTAATATAAAAATTCCACTATTTCTCAGTTTCTTCACAACTTACCTTTGGATCCTGAGCCGATGTCTGACAACTGCTGCACCAGGTCATTCCTGTTTATTTTCTGGAAAATCTTCTTGGTCACCTCCAAGTACTCTTGGCTGTAGGTCTGCGACATCAGATCCACCAGGTCTAATATGTCCCTGTTCTCCAGTTGGCTGCATGACATGCGTGGGAGGCCTGCGAGGACGTCACTGTCCCGCAGGTA